CTTGACTTATTTCCTTAACGAAGGAAAACGAATCTTTTGTACAAAATTCAGTGTTTATTAATGGAGAAAATAAATCTCTAAGAAGGTTTATTTAAATCTCTAAGGTTCTACTCGGTCTGATATCTGGTATCAGACCGAGTAGAAAATTAGAGTTCTACTCGGTCTGATACCAGACAATTACTTATAATTGTCTGGTATCAGACTGAGTAGAACTCTAAGGTTCTACTCGGTTTACTTTACTAAACTTTTTAGTAAAGTAATTTTATGTGTTATAAATTATAACACATAAAATTACTTTACTAAAAAATTAGTAAAGTAATTTTATGTGTTATAATATAAGACAAATTATCAACTTTGAAATTTTAATCAGCTGTATGAGCTGATGATATCAGAGTTGAGTACACTTCTGTTTCAGGAATTGTTTTCCATTCAACCCCATAAACAATAGTTTGTAAATGATGAATGCCTTTGAGTTTGACAAGCTGATAAAATGATTTTCTAATATATTGGTTGGATTGAACGCATGAGTTTTTTCTCTCTTAAGAAGTTCAATTGGATGACCTAAATTCCATTTGTAATTGATTTCTGATTGCACTGTAACCATAAATTTTACTTTGTTTGTGAACTTTTTACTTAATATAACTCAGTATTACAATGACTTGAGAAAATGGCATGAAAAACACTGGGCTCTAGAATTTCATTGTTTGCTTTGAGATTTTTTTCAATCCAGCCAAAAAATCACATGGTAAATGCGTATGTCCTCTTACTGAAAAAATTAACTCAACTTTCTTCATGTGATTTGGTGAATTAAACAGACAAAATTGTACCATTGCTAACACAATATTGCTTTTATTTTGACCTCCACATCCATCACTAACAAAATGAAGTATGTCAATTTCATTAGTGAAATGCAATAAATTTGGAACATGTGTTGTTAGAAAGTGATACACTGCACTGGCAACTTTATTTGATCCTCTATCTGATTAGGATTCTAACCAGGTGTATGAATGGTTTAATTTGCTATTTGAATCACACAGGCCAAAAGCTCGAAGCTTGTGAATTCTCAGCTTATCAAATAATCAGCATTTTCAATATCATTGCAATTTTTAATCATGTGGTGGAGATTGTCAATTGTAATGCAAGTATCAGAAGCAGGTCGTTTAAATGAAATAATAAATTCACCAACAAATATTCTGTAAAACATTTTGTAAGAAACAGAAAGATCAATCAAAAGTGACTTTTTGAAGATATTGTATCCCTTGTTAATATTTTTAAAAATGTTGAAAGATAAAGTCGTACAATTTTTTTGCAACCGCAATTACTTTCTGTAGCTTGAAATAAAACTTCTAATGGTTTCTTTAACATTATTATTTTTTGTTCCTTATCTGTTTCCACTTCAAGTTTCCTTAGGTAATTCACCTGATAAATAATGGCAAGATAACACATTTAATTGACTTCTCTTAATAGGAAATATTATTTGTGAGAAAAATTTCTGACTAACACAAACTTTTGAATAGTTTTGGTTGATGTAGTATTATGTAGCAATTTTTCTACATTTTTCATTTGTTTCTTTAGTTTTTTTGGTTTTTACGATCTTAGTGTAAACAAGAATTATATTATCTTGTTTTATTTTATTGTACAACTGAAATAATATTTCTCTAAATTTCCAAAAATCTTTGTCTTTAATTTTTTCACATTTGTAACTGCTGGCATTATTTTTTGATTTGAGAGAATGACAAGTTGGTAACCATAAAAGTTCTTTTTCAACCAAATATCTGCCAAAAAGCAAATATAAACTGAATAAATAAATTATATATATATATATATATATATATATATATATATATATATATATATATATATATATATATATATATATATATATATATATATATATATATATATATATATATATATATATATATATATATATATATATATATATATATATATATATATATATATATATATATATATATATATATACAAAACTTTATAATTATGTATTTATAGCGTGACATTTCTGAAAAAATAAATTATGAATAATGTACCTTTGATTTTTAAGGACATATGATAGGATCCTTTTGGTATATGTCAAATTCATTACTTGTTTTGTTTTCATTTAGACAGTTTATTTAGAAAGACATGGAAAAATAGTTTCAAACAAATTATTAAATTTAAATTTATCGTAAAAAAAACATGCCTACATAAAAAAAAATTAAATATAACATTATTTGTAAACTTACACAAAATACATTTTGGAACAATCACTATAAACTTTTTTAAATTTTATTTGAAGCCTTCACGTAAAATAAATCTTTACAAAAAATGAACGATTAAAAGTTATTTATAACGTAACAATTTTTTTATATTTAAATTGTTAAAATGTCAAAACCACCATGGTCAAATTGTAAAGAAAAAATATTGTAAGCGTGGTCAGTTACAGCATGCGATCGCACACCATTCCTTTCCAAGCCTGGTATGTATGTATGTATGTATGTATATGTATGTTAGGGTGTCCCACAACAATATTTTTGAAAAATATATGCTGCCACCCCCTTAATGTATTCTATATGATAAAAAAAAACACTGGTTTTAAAAAATTTTATACTGCGACTTATTTATTCTTTTATGTTCATGTATGTTATTTTTTGAATTAAATCATTTTCTCCTAATAAATACATAAACTATATAATACAAAAATGTTTTTTTTGCAATAAATATCGGGTGGTTGGATTTTTTTGGTCATAACTTTGTGTGTGATTTTTTTGGTTATAACATGCATACTTGAGCCTAATTTACCTTTGATGAACCAACAATGTTTAAAGAAAACAAATGTGGACTGACAGCATAATAGTCTGCATAAAACTCCTAAAAAAAAATTTTAAATACAGATCAAGAAAACATATCAATAAAATCCTTTCAAACACATGTTAAATTTAAACTGGACTACCATTTCTAGTCCAGTTTTAATTTTAGGTTTCAAATCAAATTTCAACTTCATACCTGCACTTCCTTAACAACCTCTTGATCATCGCATTCAGCTAACTGTTTTACATATGATTTTGCTAGAACATTGCTGAAATCTGAAACAAAATATTTATTTTTTCTTCAAAAATGTAAATACAATTTCTACTAAAAATGTTTGTTAAACAACTTACACAAATAATATGAACCATACTTAGGAAATTTCAACTCTTTCTTCAAACTTTCTGTATTCTCCTATAAAATTTTATAATTACTAAATAAAGAAAAGGGTTGTAAAAAATAATCTCATAAACTTATATTTAACTGCTTGCATTGACATCAACAAAATTTTTTACTCCAGCTCCAACTAATAATAATATAACAAATATCTAACATAAATATAGATCTTTTAATAAACATTTCAGAATCACAGAATAACCAAACCAAGTCAAAATTATAACAAAATGTTGACCTATTCTAGTTTATATTATTTAAATTAGATGCTTACTTAATAGTAGTGTAAATAAACTTAATGAATAAACTGCTTGAATTGAAAAAGAAACTTAATGAATTAATTGTAAATTAATTGAGTAAAAAACTAAAATTCTATAAGCGTTTATTTTACTTTAAATATTAAAAATAATAATATTAAAAATAAAAAAACAATTGAAATAAATAATAAAAAAGTCTTACTTTACTTGGTCTGACAAAAATAACAGCTTTTAAATGCTTCATCACCTCTCTACCTTGTGAGTCTATCCGTTCAAAAAGAAAGACTTCTTTTTGTAAAATTTCACTTTGTGCATACACCATACTCACAATGCCAGTCTAAATAAATTATTCACAGTCCAAATCCTTTCATAAGAAAATTCTAGTAAATAACATTAAGTAACATTCACTTCATTTAATAAATATAAAGAACTCGATGCTTCTATTAACATTCTGTTTACATTTGGCCTTCTATTAACCAATTAATCAAGACAATCAGGTTAAGGTTAGGAGCATGTCTTGGATGGTTTTTGCAATGTCAATATTTTTATTTAATTACAGCATAAGAGTTAAAGAATTTTTTACAACTTGTATTAAATTATTTAGCAAGTATTTATTTTAATAAAACCAAATATACAAATTTTTGTAGTAATTGCGCTAAAGTAACTTTATGACTACTAAAATTTTTTTAAGAAATTGTAAAAATTAATTTTAATTATATAATACTTTAATGAAAAATTTTTGATTAAAACAAATAATAATAAAGAAGATTTTATTATTAATCTAGAATTATAAAATTTATTATAAATATTTAAATGCATATATTTAAATATATATCTAATTAATATATATCTGATAATATTAATATGCTAATTTAATAGTAGTTGATAGTTGACTTACGTCATTTTCTAGGCTTTTCTATTTTAAAGTAGTCTCTAGTCTTTTCTGCATGCGGGTTTTTTTTTAATTTTATTTACTAACAACCCTTATAATGGGATGCTTACTGCTGGTTTAAATAAATAATATTATTTTGTAAAATTTATTTTGTAAATAAACAAGTATTTTTACTTTATCACTTATATATATACACATATATATAAATATATATATATATATTTATATATATATATATATATATATATATATATATATATATATATATATATATATATATATATATATACATATACATATACATGTACATATATATATATATACATATACATATATATATACATATATATACATATACATATACATTTATATATATATATATATATATATATATATATATATATATATATATATATATATATATATATATATATATATATATATATATATATATATATATATATATATATACACGCACACACACTGTCCTCCATATCTAAGGGAACTGTTAAAAAAAAAAAATTCTTAGAATAAAAAAAGTTTTAAATAATTATGAAAAGATTGTGATTTATAACCTTTTAGATATATTAATTACAGGTAAATTGAGAATATATTTTTGTTTTGTCCTCACTTGTTCGACTATTTTATCTGGTTTTTTTTTAAAGAATATGAAACATTAGTAAAATAGTAATGTTTCAAAACAGTTTTGGAGTTTAAAATAATAGCTTTTTGTTACTTTCTCCAGGTCTTTATTTGTATTAAGGTGTTTGAATATATTTAACTTCCATAAAATACTTACTTAGACTATATTTAGCTTAAATCAATACTTTTTTGTATTAAAACTAAAATAGTAATAGGCCTTATATTGTGTTTTTATAAATTTCAACATGTATATATATATACATACATACATACATACATACATACATACATACATACATACATACATACATACATACATACATACATACATACTATAAAAACCTATGGTAAAGGGCTTAGATACTCAGTTTGTGGTAAAAAAACAGCTCTTAGTTTGTTTGTGATATTAAAGTTGACAAAATTAGGGATACAGTATGTTAAAAATAGGGATACATTATGTTAAAAAATAAATTTTTGAAAATCAGAGAAAAAATGTGTTTATAATTTTTTTTAATATTTACAAAGTAATAAAAGTGCATTATTATTTTAGGTTTAAAACTATTTTATCTAATATTTTGAAAGAAAAACTTATAACAAAAGAAATCAAAATACATGTGGTCTAGATGATTATTTAAAAAAGGTTGCGCAAATAAAATACTATTTTGTTTTTAATTTTTTTAAAAACACATTTTAGAACTTTAAAATATAATAAAAATGAATATGATTTGGAAATGGTATGTAAAAAAAATTATCGGTGTTTTAAACAAACAAATAAAAAAAAATCTATGAAGTCATGTACTAAAACTCCTATGAATTAAATGCACTTGAATAAATTATCTCTGTCTGTGTAAAAGTCTGTGTAATGCGCCTGGAAAATCGCGTTTATTTTAAAGACTCCGAATATAATTGTGTAATAAATACAAACTAATTCTGAGAAACATTGTTAATTTAATTTTGTAAAAGCATTTGCTAAAAACTATATGTATAATAAATATTTTTTATTTAATTTCAAAAAAAAGTTATAAAAGTTCTAGCAACGAAAAAAACATTAAATAGTTTTAACGAAAAGAAATTGTTATCTTATTGTTTTAATGTTTTAATGATGCAAAAACGTTATTAATTTATATTTTAATTAAACAAATAATACAATAAAAAAATGAAAGCTTATAAGCTACTTTTAAATAAATTCAATGTAATAATAAAAAAAAATTGACTGTAGTATTAAGCTTAAGATGAAGACAATAACAAAGAAAATACATAAAAGATAAATTTATTCTTTAAAACAAGATCATTAAGAACTAGGTGGGGAAAAAAACACAATCAGATGCGATCAAATAATAAGTATTTAGAAAGCCAAAAGAATTTTAAACGTTTTGTCAGGCAGTGCGTTGCTAAATAATAATTTTAAAATATTTATCGTCTAAATAATGCTGTATAACAAATGTATTAAAACGCTGTATTAAAAATTAATAAAATTGTGTGGAACACCCATATCCAAAAATAAAAGATTGCTCCCGATAACTTAATGACGAGTGCGCATAATCGTACTCGTGAAAAAAATATTTGAGTTTTACGGGCATGAAACATTGAGCTGGACAATTTTCTTCATGCTAAGGCCTATATATATATATATATATGTATATATATATATATATAGCTATATATATATATAGCTATATATATATATATATATATATTATATATATATATATATATATATATATATATATATATATATATATATATATATATATATATATATATATATATATAGCTATATATATATATATATATATATATATATATATATATATATATATATATATATATATATATATATATATATATATATATATATATATATATATATATATATATATATATAGCTATATATATTATATATATATATATATATATATTATATATATATATATATATATATATGTATATATATATGTATATGTATATATATATATATATATATATATATATATTATGTATATATATATATATATATATATATATATTTACTATGCTGTCAGATTGCTAACTAAATCATTTATATTTGTATATATACAAACTTTATATAATGGACTTAGTAAAGTAAAATTTAAAATAAAAATACCGTGTCTTTGTCCATAAGTAAAACTTTCATCCCAGGTCCAGCATCATCAATCATCTTAGTAATATAATGTTTTGCAGCAACTATCACATTCATTCTGATTTAACTTAAAATTCTTCTGAAGGTTAATGTTGGTAAACAAAATAATTATAATTTAAAAAAAGAATTAAAACCTAAAACAAAACATTAAGTGAACAAACAAATTTATCATAATTCTTTACTTAAAGAAAATATATTATCGATAAACTCTTTTGATAAAATTTGAGACTACTATGAGTAAATTAGGTATATAATTCAAAAACTTTATGTAATTCCATTACTATTATCAAATTAAATAGTTTTTTATATGTATTAAAAGGAAATAAAAAAAAAAATTATTTCCATTTAATACATATTAAAAACATATATTATAATACAGATATAAAACAATATAATTTTAATAGCAAATATATAAAGATAAATAATAAATCAAAACAAGACTTTTGTTTTCACCAAATTACTCAAAATATTTATTAATTAACAAAATACATGTCTCGACAAAAATATAAACATATTTCTTAATAATGAACATTTTAATCTTTAAAATATTTGAGTATTAATCTTCTTCACTTGAAGAATAGTTTGAACCAAGAATCGAAACAGATTTGGATTTGATCGAATCAACATAATCTAATTCTAAAAATATACTCATATTTAAAAATAACCAAGTAAAAGCATAAATAAATCATTATGATTAATCAACTAATAACTCATTTGCATCATTGCAATTAAACTGCATTATACCAACACATAACAGCATTTATGCAACTAAGCAACAACATAGCAACTCATCAGCATTGTTGCCACGAAGGTGTAAGTTTTTAAATAAATTACATAATTACAAGTAATTTGCAATATAGCAACTTATTAGTTTAACTGTGACTAAAAAAATTCATTCATCAAAGAAATTATAATACAAAATAAATACCTTTTACAATATCAGTACTATTTTGCTCAATATTTTCAGCCTTTCCTTTAATATCATTACTTTTATCTTCAATATCTTTATCTTTCTCTTCAATATGGCATTTTTTCACAGCTAAGTTATCATCCACAGTTTTTCTTCAAACAATAAAAAATTTTGTATGTTACAAAATATAACTCTTTTTTAATATTCAAAAGAAAGTCAGTTTTTAAATAAATATAACCTTTTCCGAATAATAACAGACTCGACAAGTTCTCGCTGTGATTTTTGTTTTGTTTTGAAATCAACTGATATTTTACTTTTAGTAGGTTTTTGCAAATTCAACTTTAAATTTTCATCTTCTAAAGCAGCATGTAAATTGGTAAAGGAAAAAATATAAAAGTTTTGTAAAAATCTGAAGTTACAACACTTCAAAATAAAGTTATAAAAAAAAAAAAAAAAAAAAAAAAAAAAAAAAGACATCTTAGCAAAATTCAGTTATTAAATAAGATAATCAAAAAAAGTGAAAAAAAGTTTTTTATAGAAATATGACCAATATTTGTAAAGCAACTATTACAAGTACTTGGTCTATTTTACCATTTTATAGTAACCACTTTTTTACATATTCTTAAATAACTAATAACCAGACATGCAGAACCAGGCTGTGGGACCAGGTCATATTTTAACTAAATTTTTTTAACAAATACTTTTAAATTTTTGTTATAAAGTATAACGAAATTAGAACTTAAAAAAAAAACATTTTCACAAACTTTAAAATTAGGGTACATCACTAACCTAAAGTACTCTACATAAAATTTTTGGTGTTATGTTTTAAATTTATATAGAAAAAACTTAATCTTTTTACTTATAAATAATAATTAAAAAGTTAAATAAAGTTGAAAATAGTAAAGACCAGGGTTGATATTTGACCAGGGCTAGGTTTGATAAAATATAGCTGGGGCCAGGTTTGTGACCGTGGCTGCATAAACATTTATACATCCTAAAGTACATTTTTTTCTTCAAAACTTATGTTTGATTTTGTATATATGTGTTTATAAACATCATTATGATCAACATGATCATCATTATGATCATCATTATTGTCATCATAATCGTCATCATCATTGTCATCACCACCATCATAATTATCATTATCGTCATTAATGTCATCATCATCGTTATTGTCATCATCATCATTATCATCATCATCGTTGTCATCTGCTGCAGATGATGACATCATCAGGCTTTAGCCTTCCTCTTTTATGCTGTTTCTCTAATCATGATCAATGCTCAAATAAGCTATCATCTCTATTACAATAAACTAAAACTCATTCTTGCTTGGCTTCTTATTCAACAAGTTGCATCCTTTTACTGTATCTGTCCCTATTTATTAAATATTAGCATAAATATGCCAGAATTTAATAAATAGTAAATGTAAGTATAAAATTATAAGATATAAAGAATTTTAAGCTTATTTCTAGCCCCGGCTATCAAATCCTGCTAAATCTTGCTAAAACTAATTTTGCTGGGCAGGATTTGAAAAAAGTCTCATTTTTAGCCAAGACCGAGACCGGGGCCCCGGTCACTTACTAGTTGCAAATAAATATTGTGTAAAGGCTTCACAAAACATTGATGAAACGAAGATGAAAAAAGTTATGATAGCTCATTTGAGCAGTTTAATGGTTGTTCAGCCCATTGTGTCAATGATGAATAACTGTCATTAATTATTTTTAAATGTTAACAAGAGAAGCTGTCATTAACTATTTTAAAATGTTAACAACCAATTTAAAAAAAAAAAAATTATTTTAATTAAATATTAGGATAATAAATCAATTAAAATACTAATATTTTAAAACACAATAGAGATAGACATAAGATATAAAATAAACTCAAAAAAAAAAATCAGAAAAAAAAAAAAAATTCATATTTAAATTATAAAACCTTAATAAATATTGAAATGATACTCTATATTCTTTGAGTTCATTTGACTCTTCATTAAATCGTATATTGTCCATCTCTAACTTTTTTTTTGCTACCATTTCCAGAAAACTTGCATCCTCTGTATTTAAGCCTTTATATATCATGTTCTCTAAAACAGAATCAAGCAATGTTTTACTATTAGACACTTATTTTTAATAAGTGACTATCTATTACCAAAAAGAGGTTATCTATTAACAAATAAATTACAATAAATATGGGAACCTTTAAAAACTATCCCCCCTCTCCCCTTTATTAAAAAAAATTGTTTTTCTTGTATTAGTAAACTAATTACTTTTATCACTTTTTGTTATTTAAACTTACTAAACTTCAATTGCTCTTCAAATTCTTCTTGTTTTTTGTCTTTTTGTTCTTTTAATCTTTCATACAAAGAACGAGTATCCCGAAAACTTTCTTCCTCAACCTGAGCTGTATGAATATACAATCAACCTTAAGATAAAAGTACATAAAAACAAACAAGCTCATTTAAAAAAATTCTTCATGCACAAAATAAAGAACAACATTAAAATCCTACGAAGTTCTCTCCCTTGACTGCGTGCTTTTTCCCATTCCTCGGCTCGCTTCTTTTTTGCTTCTTCAATATCTTTTTCAGAAACAAAGTTCATATTTAACTTAACAATGTTCTTTTTTATTTTTTTTAAATCTAAAGTTAATTTTTAATAAAGATTTCAATTTTTAGATCATCACATAATTACGTAAATAAGCAATTTATTTTTAATTCATTTTATTGACCTGAAGAAAAAATTAGCTAAAATTAACTGAAAACTATTTATATACTACAGCATTTAAAACTGAAATTTTTTTCTTTCTATTTTTACCAAAAAAGCAAAAGAAAAATTAAAAAATAAAAATAATTTTTGGGCGCCCATACTGCTCCAGCGTTACTAAAACAGGTCTGGGTTCATCCCTCTCTCTCTCTCTCTTTATATATATATATATATATATATATATATATATATATATATATATATACATATATATATATATATATATATATATATATATATATATATATATATATATATATATATATATATATATATATATAAAGAGAGAGAGAGAGAGAGAGAGAGAGGGATATATATGTATGTATGTATGTATGTATGTATGTATGTATGTATATATATATATATATATATATATATATATATATATATATATATATATATATATATATATATATATATATATATATATATATATATATATAGAGAGAGAGAGAGAGAGAGAGAGAGAGAGAGAGAGAGAGAGAGGGATATATATATATATATATACATATATATATATATATATATATATATATATATATATATATATATATATACAAATATATATATATATATATACATATATATATATATATATATATATATATATATATATATATATATACACATATACATATACATATATATAATATATATATATATATATATATATATATATATATATATATATATATATATATATATATATATATATATATATATATATATATATATATATATATATATATATATATATATATATATATATATATATATTAGGGTAGGTCGATTTTAGCTTTTTTTTTGAATTTTGAGTTGGGTAATGTTGCAGTTACTGTGTCTAGGTTAGAAATGAGGTTTTACCAAATCTCAAGTGTCCTGGTTTAAAAATGGCTTGCGGATTTGCATTTAAAGATCTTCTCGTACTTGTTAAGGATAGAAATCAAATTTTGTTTAATCGCATTGAAAACCCAACTGTAGATGGATATATTCCAGAAGAAATACTAGTAGACCTTAGTTGCGATCAAAGACTTTTATTTGAATATTGCAAAGGAATAGGCTTTGGTAAAGTTTCGGATAAATTGGCCGCCTATAAAATTGGACCGCTTAACCATGCAAGGTAGTCAACTCTAGCTATTTGCCTTCTCTGTTTGTATACTAGAAACAATCAACCAACTGTTTCTTCAAAAAAACTTGTATGTTTTATTGTTCAGGTTTACGCTCCAGCGTGGTTCGATATAAATAAATCTTCATGAATCCCCACGCCTTATTTTTTCTATTATCACTAGAATAAATAATCTCCCCTTTGATGATGTTAAACATATTGTTAAAAAAAACATTAAAAACAATGCCTAAAACCTGAAAATATTCTTTATGTCATGTTAAAAGATAATGACAGCAAGATACGAAACTTTGGTTTTCAAATCCTACTGGGTCTAAGGCAAAGGTATTTTTTTATAGTAAACTAAAATAAAGTTTTGAAAAAAAATGATACATTAAATGTGGTATTTGGATTTGATTTATATTTATAGAGTAAACAACGAAAGTTTGGAAGTAAATTTGAAAAAAATTCCAGAAATTAATTTTAATGCTAATCATTGGTATGAGTTGGTAGATATCAGCATTACTAAATTTACGGAGCCCCCAACAACACAACATTTTTCAATTGAGCAAATCCAGTATGCGATTGACAATAATGTTAAACCTGAAATCTCCGACTTTCCATCTCACTCCCAGAGTGTTGAGCGAGCGGTAAAACTTGTGTCGGACGCATCTCAATATGTTTATGGATTCGAGAATCGACACAGCTGCATTTTAACTAAACTACTTAGCACGAAGATGCGTAAACCGTATATTTCAAAAGGGCATTATTGCCATTCTTATGATGATATTTTTTATTTGAAAATTTTTTTCTAAAATATATATATCCATAGCCAAAATGTTTTAAATTGTGAAAATAATGTTTATTTTGATATTCTTATGTAAATATAAGAATAAAAGTTTCACTATTTAAATCTTCAAATAGTTAACAAGTTGTTATAAATTTAGCTTAATTGTTATAAACTATTATAAACTTAAATCATACAGCAAAGCAAATAGTATTGAAAAACATTTAAATATGAGCATAGTTAAAACGTCAAGTTTTGCATATAACGCTTTTTAAGGTGTTTTTTTACATAATCCAATAAATCTTAAAAATTAAATCCGCAAGCGATTCTTCATCCAAAATCTCTCAAATTTTGAGAGTAATCGTATTTATAACTGTCTACAACTACTGCAATATTATGCAATATACGGAATTAAAATCGACCTACCCTAATATATATATATATATATATATATATATATATATATATATATATATATATATATATATATATATATATATATATATATATATATATACTTACTAAAGCGTGTTTTGATAAGCATTTGCTCATTTTTTCTGCTTCCTTATGCTATACCGTTTTTTTCAAAAAAGAAGAAGAAAAAACCAAGAATGATGAAAAAAACGATTGCTTCCCTATCCTAAACCCTCAGTCGATGTAGCAGCACTCCACTGCTAGTCAGGCTATTTGTCAGTCGATGTATGTACTGAAGCCCCCAGCAGCAGGCTATTCAATACGATGTCAGATTGCTTACCCTAATACGCAATACTATTTGTGTGTATATATATATATATATATATATATATATATATATATATATATATATATATATATATATATATATATATATATATATATATATATATATATATATATATATATATATACCACAGTATTATACGCTATGTGCACACACCATTAAAATTTTGATATATAATAACATGTCCATTTTGCAAACATCTAAACTGCTAAAATTTTAAAGTTTAAACACATAGTGCCAAAAATGGTGCACAAGTTAACATTCTTAGAGTGTAGTGTGGTGTATAAATCTAGAGTCCAATCAAGTAACTGGCAGATAGTAAGTAATTTATTTACAGAATAATATATTTTTCATGGCCTTAAAAAGTATTAAAAAAGTATTATAAGGCCAAGATACAAAGAATTTTAGATTTTACCCAAAAATTACCTTAAAAAAATTCTGAATTTTATTTGAGTAACTAACGCACAAGGTTTTAGTCAAGATTATTTAAGTAAAATTTTTATTTGACTCTGTGATAAAAAAATGTGCAGTGAACAATGAAAGTGTAAATTTTTCAACAAACTGTGTAAACATAAAAAGTGTAATAAGAAAATAAATTATTTCTGTTCTTATTTTAAATTCTAAAAACATCGATATATATATATATATATATATATATATATATATATATATATATATATATATATATATATATATATATATATATATATAGATATGAATATTTATATATATATATATATATATATATATATATATATATATATATATATATATATATATATATATATATATATATATATATATATATATATATATATATATATATATATAGATATGAATATTTATATATATATATATATATATATATATATATATATATATATATATATATATATTCATTTATTTATACAGATATATATATATTTGAATGCCGACCCTAATTCCAAGTGATAAATATATATATATATATATATATATATATATATATATATATATATATATATATATATATATATATATATATATATATATATTTGATGAGTGAAAAAGTTAATAAAAGTTTAAGTTTAAACTTTTTAGGTTGATTTATTATTAGTAAACAAAAGCCCAAGAGGAGATTTAAATAAACAACTTAGTTCCCATAAATTTAAACAATTTATTATTATTGGATAAAAGTTGCAATACTAAAATAAAAACTTTATATATTCTTCGCTTAAATATTTGTATAAGAAGCCTTTTAAAATTTTTGATGTTTGATTGTAAGTGTATGACAACTAAGTGAAATTAGTGGTAAAGCCCTTGTATTTTAAACGAGAATTAATGAGTTTACCATTACCACACCCCTGATATTTTAAACGAGAATACCACACCCTTGTATTTTAAACGAGAATTTATGAGTTTACCATTACCACACCCCTGATAGTATCCATGCTATACTTATTTCTCTGTTCAGCAGTCTTGTTTTTTAAGTCAAGTATTAGAGAGTTTTGAGAGAGGATTGTAATAAATGTTTAAAAAAAAGTCCTCATTGACTGTAGTGGCACAAGCGACTTAGGGAAGGTGAATACAGTAACCATATTTTAAACTAAAAAAGTTTTGTAACCATTAAGTATTGTAATGCTTAAAACCTTTTTTTTTTCAAACTGTTAACCAAAATCTTCAGTTATTTTTAATGACCCATCATTGCTTACATAACTGAGATACAAACATATTTTATGACTTTGGAATGTTTCATAATAGATACCAACTAAGGGTTCAGGGCAATTTAAAGAACCAATTTTTTCTGAGTATAATGTAATACTTTTGCAACCAGAACTGTGACGAAGTCATTGTTTAACAAATTACAAGCCTCTGTCAAGTCTTTTCACTCATGTCGAAGTCAAGTCCCAAGTCAAGCGAAGCCAGTTCAATTTAATACTTGAGTCAAGTCTTTAGTCCCAAACCCCTGATTTAATAAGTAAACAACTCATAATGTATTTGCAATCAACTAACTCCCATTTTATATTTAAAATTTATTGAAAACTTAATTTTCAAATACTTTTTTTTAAGAAAATTTACATTTGCAAAAGACCAAATTTAAAAGGGATGTCAGACATCGACGTCTAATGAATACAGTAAAACATTAAAAAAAAAAAAAAAAAAAAACCAGACTGTGTGAAAAATGTTTTTACATCTTTTCGCTCCAAAACTTTTTGCTTTAATGTACTGCTAATGTCAAAATGCAATATGCTAAATGGATACTTTTATACTGTGATTAAATTTTATTTTCTAAACGATTTTAGAGCTTGAATACGAGATTGTACCTTAACTTAAGCTTTAAGTCAAGGTACAATCACAAGCCACTAAGTTTAAGTTAAAGTCAAGTTCTTAGTCATTGGCATCAGTCAAGTTACAAGTTACATTAGTCGAAGTCAAGTTACAAGTCTTATTTCATTGAAATGATATCAACTTTTAATAATAAAGATTCAAAATTTGGATTCAACCTAAATATAAAACTAATATTTAGCATACAATTATTTTGAAAATGCTCCCTGATTTTTCACTGATTTTAATGATTTTCAGACAAACTTCCCTGACATTTCCAAATTTTACTGATTTTCTAAATTTTCAATTTGGGTCTTACTGTCATATTCTCATGTCATGTCATCATCTTATGTGATGTCATTATCTCACTTTCTTATAGAGGTGACTGGCTAGATCCCTTATTATTAGAAGTGACTGCTCTAAATAATATAAAGGAGACCACACATTTTCAACACATTTTTTTTATTATAAAAACACTTTAAAAGTTTTCTTAATAAAATAATAAGTTAAAAAATAATAATTTTATATTAGAGTTTGCTTTCTAATGCATTTTAAAATTTTTTAAATTTGCTTATTACAGTTATATCAAAAATTAGGATTCTATATTCATAAGTTCTGCATTTTTTATCTTTATTTATAAACTTCTCTGTTTAGGATCAAATAGTATATAATTTTTTTAAATGTTAGGCTTGACATTAAATTAAATCAAAATAAATATTTAAACTTTTTTTTTTAGTTATCAATTGATTTTTTTATCCAAAATTCTACAGAACTTTTTGACTTTAAAAACAAGTTCAAGGTGATGAATTTTTGTATAATGCACTTACACATCTTGTGTATCTTTCCAGGATTTTGTGTTGAAAATCTTCCTAAAATTTAATTGTTTTTTTATGAATTTTTTTTTCAAAAAGATCATTGAATGTCAATCAGACTGATTAAATGACAGCTCTATTGAATAATTCAAAAAATTAGGTTGAAAGATGAAACCATGTACCTTTTTGTAAACATTTTTTTTTAATTAGATTAAAAAGAGAATTTTCATTGTGGGGTCAAACATTGAATGTCATACAGATTGATTAAATGGCAATGTTTACAGAATAATTCAAAATAAATTGTTTATAACGTACTTTTTTAAGCAAAGCAAAAATATTTTTTTAATTTAACAAGAGAAAAGGATACAGAGAAAAGGATATTTTTCTTGATTTTTGTAAAAACTTAATTGAAGCTGATAGTAAAACATTTTTCAAATAAAACTTCTCTTTTTAATAAATTATATCTTTAAACTTTATGAAGGATGTAATAATAAGTCATTTGTTTGAATGATAAAATATAATATAACTATTTACATGCTAAAAGACTTTAAAAAAGATACACCCCATTGTTAAAAGAGTGTGTGAACAATCATTTAGATATCAATAACACGTTTGACTTTCACTTTACTTGTAAGTAGATTTATTCGGCTTTGTTTTTATCAAATACTTCCTCCATTCACTACTGCTAGGAGGAGCTGCATTAATAAAACCTTCTGGAATACGACTACTTTTCAGAGAGTCTGATGGAGCCAAATAAAAATCCCATAAATTTCTAGAGGTTAAATAAAAAGTCAGATAAACACAAAAACATCAAAAAATTTCTTATAATAAATTTTTACATGTTATTATATATTCAGTTAATAAATAGCAATTAAACAATGTGTTTTTAATTTATAAATGAAATACGTCAAAAATTTAAAAACAACAAAACATAACTAAAACATTATAAAATTTATAATGGTATTTTCCCTTGCCATTTTACCATGTGAATGATATAAAATTAATATTTTTACAACAGAATGAATAAGTGCATATATCAACTGTCATAAATAGAAAGAACATGTAGGAAGTGTATATGCATAAAACAAGGGTTAGAGTTAAAAACAAAAAAAAAAAACAATAAAAGAAACAAAAAAAATAAAATGGAACTTTAAAATATAAAACAAACTGAAAAAAAATGAGTAAACAAACACTTTCTGCTTTGTAGAACTGCAGGCAAACAAATAAAAACAATTGAAATTAGTTTTGTGTTTAAAATAATTTAAAACCAGGAACTAGAAGTTCCTAAAATGACTCCAGTTTCAAATCACTATTGAATTTTCCAAACAAAGGAATGTGTTCTACAAGCAGGAGCAATGAGAAATGATCTTGAAAAACTTTATTTGATAATGATAAATTCATATTTTTTATACATTTTAAACAAATAAAAAAATCTTTTGAATAATATGTTGTATAAAACTTTCTATGTATCACGATCATTCAAGACATTTGGGATTTTCTCTGTTTTTAATAATTTCTTGCAGTGCTTGTGCTTTTAAAGATAAGTTTTTTTCTTCTCCTGTTATTAAAAACAACAAACCTTGTATATATACTAGTGAAATTAATATATATGCAGTGTTATGGCTTTTAGGGAGATTGGCAGAGGGAGAGATGCAATGTTAACTTTTATTTTCATAATGAATATCTATCACCTCTATCAAAAGCTAGTTTTAACTATATTAATAGCAAACTTTATGATGCTTATAAATTAGTCACTGAGCAAAGTATGAAAAATGCTGCAATGGAAGTTAGGAAAATACTGAAACCTGACTCTAATATGAATGATGTTATTGATTGTGGTGTTTCTATTGATGATACCTGTCACCAGAACGAATTTTCTTCTTTAAATGGTGTAGAGGTGGCTCACGGCAATAACAAGGTATTAGATACTGTTATATTATCTAAGTTAAAGTTACTGTTATATTATCAAAGGTTATCAAGTTTGGGAAGGAAAAAAAGGGACACTTAAATATGAGTGGTGGAAAAGTTAATCATTCCTGCTAAGTAAATCACACTGAATCAGCTGGTGCCATGGAGTCAGAAATATTTCACTCTTCAGTAAATAAATATAACTTTTTTTTTTTTTTTTTTTTTTTTTATTTTACTTCACCTCCTCAAGGCCGAGAAGGCCACTACAGACAAGGAGGCTACTTATTTTGTGGCTATAACCCTCTCTGAACTTTATAACTCCGAAACACGAACCTTGACGAACAAGGCCGCTGCGCGGAGAAACGAGTTGAGCGCGGTACTACCAGGGACGTGGTGGGGATCTATTTGGTATTCAAAATATCTTGGTGATAGAGACACTATCTCCTTTAGCACAGTTATTGCACATAAACCTTATGGTGATGACCTTGTTCCAATAAAACTAGAATGTATTGGGCATTACCAGAAGCGAACAGGGAATCGACTATGTCTTAAAAGAAAAGAATTACGATGGGTATAACTATCTGACGGAAAAGGTATATCTGGTAAAGGTTGGCTTAATGGTAAAGTAATCAACATCTTGCAAAATTATGTTGGAATGCTATTCAACAAAATTCAAATAGACTTTTGGAAATGAGAAACTATGTAATTGGTTCACTTCAATATTGCACTAATTTTACTTCTGAGGAATATTGTCATATATTTTGTGCCAAGGGTGAAAATGTCAATCTGATAAAGCAACTTGTCAAGTAATATACAAGAAAAAGATGATTTTACCAGTTGCCATTATGGAAAAGATAAAGCCAGTATTTCAAGATTTAGCAAATACTAATATGCTTTAAAAATGTTTGCATGGCATGACTCAAAATGGAAATAAAACTTTTAATCAATTAATTTGGAACCGTTCCCCTAAAACCATATTTACCAGTAAAGTTGTTATTGAAATAGCTGTTTACTATGCAACCATTATTTTTCTGTTATTTTCTGTATTTGATACTATATTAAATCTGTAACTTAGAGCAAGTAAAAAAATCTCCATACAGTTTAAAAATATGAACAAAAAAGTATCAGATAAAACAAAAAAAAACAAAAAAAAAAATTAAGATCTGTTAGAAAAAACTATTTTAAACAAAAACTAGATTAAGAAACTGCAAAGGTTATTGTGCTGGTAGTTTTTAATGATTTATCTAATAATTATTAATTTTAAAATTGACTTTTCTTAATTTCTTTTTTTCTTTTTTTTACTAGTAACAGTAGGAAAACAATGATATCTTAATAAAAAATCATTATTTTAGGTTCAAAATTTTAGGATATATAATTAATTTATTATTATTATTTTATAATTAATTTAATTATAAAATTTTGTTGTGCCTTAACCTACAGAAAACAAAAAAAAAAATAAACTTGACTTAAAATTACCCTATCAGCTGAGTGTTTTATTGCTAAAAATAGTTTTTTATACTATCAAGTCTGCCATTTTAGATCATTTAAATCTTTTTTTAGGTTTTTTGGTTCAGGTACAAGCTACACTAGTATACTAGCTTTGTGCATAATTTCAACCATTAATATTGATGTAATTTAAAATATATATTTTAAATATATATTTTAAATTACATCAATATTAATGGTTGAAATTATGCACAAAGCTAGTATACTAGTGTAGCTTGTGAAGAACATAAATAATTTATGTTCTTGGGACATTACCTTTTTTGCTTTTTTTTTGAGTCAGCAATTTTTTTTTTTTTTTCAAATTAAATTTTTTTTTTTAAAAAAACTCCATACAGTTTAAAAATATGAAGAGTTTTAACATTTTAAAAATCTTCGGACTTTTAAACATTTTAGATTTTTATCTATTATGCTAGTAAATTGCCAAATGTATTTATTATGAGTAAAATATAAGAAAATTAAAATAATGCCAGGATACCACCTTAATATAAAAAATAAACTTATTTCAAATATATAAAACTATATAAAATTTATTATTCCTTCTTGTTGCTTTCAAAAAAAAAAAAAAAATTTCAATACCTTATATGAATCAATGCAGCTAAACTTTCTTCTGCTTGCAACCAATACATACGAAAAGGTATCATTGGATCAAAGGTGTACAAATCCATACGCCCTATATAGAAGTTTTGTATGAATTTTATAAACAATTTTAACTATATATATGATATGTTGTAGGCATATAACACACTAATTAAATATTAGTTAATATAATAAACATTATTATTATCAAGATAAAATTATTACTAAAATTAAAAAATTAATAATTCTTAAAAACTGTAAATAGAGAATTTAAAAATATAAAATATAAAATAAGCAGCAGCTGTAGCTACAAAACTATGACAATAAACAACACTAAATCAACTTTCTAGTTCTTTTATTTACAAGTGCATTTGCTTCATTTGTGTTTTACCGTGTTTTGAAATATACTTATTAATAAAGATTATAATATACTTTTGTTTTTAGAAAAGTAATACTTATATATAATCATTTTCTTGATCGCTTACTGTAAATAGTTTTACAAGGTAAATACAAAAAAATATATAGAGATTAGACTACTTCATTTTAAGGTCATGAAAAAATTTAAAGTACTATGGAGTCTCCTGTGCAGACCCAAATTTTATTAGAAATATGTTTTTTACTTTGAATTTGGATTACTTTTAGGGGTTGCTCAAGTGCCTCAAAATTCAAATTATTGACTTTTAAACCCCTTTTTTAAAAGAGCTTAACAGTTCTTTCAGAGCAATCATTAACACCAGCAAGATAAAAATAACATCCTAAAATTTTAGGTCATTGCAAGTGCAATCTTTGAAGGGGAGGGGGTTCTTATCATTGCAAGTACAATATTTGAAGGGGAGGGGGTTCATCCATTGACAGTCACTTTTACTTTGACCAATCATAAGAAACACAAACCACAAATTTTCTGTGACCAATTGAACTAAGTTTGGCAGCTTTAATCCACTGAAATCTAAATAATTAAGGACTTTAATTTTGGTTCTCTTGATGGCTGATAGATATTCTTTCTTTGCATTTTTCATCAGCTAGGGTTATAGCACAATATTATGCTATAGCTCAATAAATTAAGGGTCCAGAAACTATGCGATCAGCATAGAATGACCTTGATGTTAAATCAGGCTGAAATCATCTTGATGAAGAAAACCATGTAGGTTTTTTTATGGTTACCATTTTTGTAAAATACTATTTTTCCCTTTTTATATATATATATATATATATATATATATATATATATATATATATATATATATATATATATATATATATATATATATATATATATATATATATATATATATATATATATATACATATATATATACATATATATATATATATATATATATATATATATATATATATATATATATATATATATATATATATATACATATATATATATATATATATATATATATATATATATATATATATATGTATATATATATATATATATATATATATATATATATATATATATATATATATATATATATATATATACATATATATATATATAGTGCTCGAGGCGGGATGGGGCGGGATGCCATCCCATTAGCTTTTTAAATTTTGAAAACCATCCCACTACCTTTTTTAATGCATATTTTGGGGTGGGATGCCATCCCGGTACATAATAAATTAATGGAAACTTTATTTTATTTTCCTTCTATAAAGAAACTTGTAAAAACAATTTTAAAGTTTGCAGCAATATGCGAATTTAAATGAACTAAAGTCTCAGTCAAAACTAAATCGATAATTATAAAACATTGCATCTTTTCTTTTGTATTTTAAATAAAAAGTTACCAAGCAACAAAAAGCAACATTGGCTTTTTTTTCATTAAAGTATCATTAGAGTTTTTTTTGGTGAAATAAAATATAGTACACAGTAGATTTACTCAACATTAAATGTTATGATTTAAAAAAAATTTTACTTATTATAAATATGGATAAATGGCTAGCAAGCGGAAGGAAAAGAAAGTTAAGCAGTGATAGTTCTAAAAGTAATTTGGAAAATGACACTGAAATAAATAAAGAAGTGACAGATTTTTCGAGTATTGAAACTTGCCAATCCTTTCCTCAATGTGATGGTATTTTTCCAGATTACTGGTCTGACTTACAGTGGAAGGAGAAATTAAAAACATTTGACTGGTTGACAGTTTCATTAACAGGTCTTGGTTGTTCTGTTTGTAAGTCAGCAAATAATTTAGGTGCCGAAAAATATCAAGGAATAAAATTGGCTAGTGGACACTTGGCAACGTTAAGGAGTATGCCGAAACAAAAGAAAAAAAAACAACAATCAATGAGGAAAAAGCTTTCAAGCCATAAACTATCAGTTGCACACAAAAAGGCTTGTAAAATTATTTCGCAGTCCAAAAAAAACACCATAAAGATGTTTAGTTCAAAATGCAGATCAATCAGCACGAAACTACCTACTGCATATTTCTCACTGTTTATCACATTGCAAAAATGAATCGTCCATTTTTTGATTTGAAAGAACTAATATTATTACAGGTAGAAAATGGTTTAGACATGGGACGTATTTTACAATCTGATCACGCATGCGCTGATATTGTTTATCACATTTCAAATGAAATGCGCACTAAGCTTGTAAAATATATTCTTCATAACAATAATAAAGTAGGGTTCTACCATGATGAGCAAAAAGTCTGCTCTGTCAATCAGCTTGAGAGTGAACATTCCAGAAATAAATATTGTCAATAGTATTTTTTTTTGATCTTATCGAATTAACAAATACAGAATTGTCTATTGCAAACTCTTGTATATGTGCTTTACACAATTTTGGTTTTGACAACAATTTTTTATCAAGTAATTGGGTGTCTTTTGCATGTGATGGTGCTTCTAATATGCTTGGCAAAAAGACAGTGGCCCAGTTACTTTTGAATCAGTTTCCTAATTTGATTTTATGGCATTGTAGCAATCACCGATTAGAGTTAGCAGTAAATGATGTTGTGCGCGATATCTTACCAATTTGTTACATGAAAAGCTTTTTTATAAATTATATTCCATTTACAGTGCATCTCCTAAAAAAAAAAAAGAACTGGAAACTGTTGCTATAGCTTTAAGTGTAAAACTAAATTCCAATTGTACGATTCTAGGCTTTAGATGGGTGTCGCCTAGCGCTCGATCTGTGATGACTGTTTGGAATAATTATGCAGCATTGTATCAACACTTTCATGAATCTTCATTGGATTTAAGGCGTAATGGAGGAGATAGAACCCAATATGCAGGTCTTAAAAATAAATTATGTGATATAAATTTCATACTCAACATGGGACTAATGCTAGATGCTTTAATAGAACTAGAACATCTTTCTAAAAAATTACAAGATAGGCAAACTTCTTTACCTGATGCACATCGGCTTATCACCTTAAAATACCATATATTTCAATCAATGAGAAATAATTCAGGTAAATATTATTCCCAAACGCAGCTTGCAGCAGAAAAGTTTGAATTAAAAGGCGTCAAACTACAGATCGGAAAAGTTTCTAAAATTAATCAAAATGAATTTATTAGTAAACTAAGTGAAAATCTTGATTCTAGAATGTTTACAACTAGAGCTGCGCATAAATCTTTACAAGACAAAGAAAATGATCCAAACAAAGAAAAATACGATAATTTAATAAAAAATTTACAAATTTTTGACTCAATATTTTACGCTAACAGTCTCTTAAGAATATAACGGACATTAAGTTGTTTTTTTAATATAGGTTTTTTACTATAGGGATACTCTAAGGATTTATAATTTCTTTATTTAATCTACACAAAATTTGAAATCTATAATTTTAGGATAGGTGGGATGGTGATTAGAAAATATTAAAAACCATCCCCCTACCTTTTTTTTTCCCACTTCGAGCACTGTATATATATATATACATACATATATATATATATATATATATATATATATATATATATATATATACATATATATATATATACATATACATATATATATATATATATATATATATATATATATATATATATATATATATACATATATATATATATACATATACATATATATATATATATATATATATATATATATATATATATATATATATATATATATATATATATATATATATATATATATATATATATATATATACACCAGTGGTGTACCCTTTGGTTAAAGCCTAGTGAAAAATAACATCCTAAAACACAGAAACAGTTTTTATTTCTTATTTGAGTTGTCCGCTATGATAATCAGTAGTCAGATGAAAAAAGTTTTTTTTGGTATTTTTTTGCGGGTGAAACTAATGATATTTTAAAAATTAGTTAATGCAAAGCCATGTACTTTGTTTTTAAGGAGCAAATTATTATAAGTTTAATAGGAAAAAAACTATAAAAAACAAAACAAAAAACTTACAATTGCAAAAGTAACAACACTCTTGTCACTAACTGCATTATAAAAGTAATAAAATCATAATAGTGTTATTACTTTTATAAAGCACTTATAACTTTTAAAGTTCATTCTTTGTTCAAACAACATAGTAATTCCAAACTTTAATAAAAGTTTTATTAAAATTTAATTTTCAAGTATTATTAAAAACTTTAGGAACTTTTACAAATACTAAGTATTTGTAAATTATTAATATTAGTTAAATATAATCATTAGTATTATACTTAAACAACTTTATAAAAAGTTTGGAAATAATAGTCCATAAAAACGGGTGTTAATTTTGAAATCAACCAATAAAAAGTTTTTATTAGTTGATTTAAAAAAAAATGCACATTTTTACAGATTATACATTTTTCATAATGCTAAACTTTTAATCCAGTATGGTTGTATAAAGTTGTTTAAGTTCCTTAATAAGCTTTAAATATTATTTTCTAGATGCTTTTCTACTTCAATTAAAATATAGTTTTATTTATAAACACACTCTTATTTATATATATATATATATATATATATATATATATATATATATATATATATATATATATATATATATATATATATATATATATATATTTTAAAAACAAAGAACTTATCAAGTTTTTTTTTCATTCAGGATATTCAGGATATCTGTTGGAGTTCTTTAGCAAATGAATAGGTACAAGAAGTTAAATCAGATTTGAGCAGAATCAAGCTTCAAATCATCAAGCAACACAATAGTTTCTGGACACATTGTTTTACCCCTAACTGATGAAAAATGATTTCAGTGGATCGAAGCCACCAATTAATAACATAAAAATTGTGGCTCTTGTTTCTTATGGTAGCCTAAAATAAAATTGGCTCTCAATGAATGAACCCCTTCCCGGCGCCTCCAAATACTGTAATTGCAAGGATTTCTAACTATAATTTTATGATGCTGTTTTTTCGTCTTGCTGTTGTTAATCATTGCTCTGAAAGAACTACAGCTGTAGTGCAGTAGTAGCGCTTGTGTCAGAAGCAAGAGTTCTGTACTTTAAAGCCAGGTTTAGTCAAGTTTTACTACATCAGTAAAGAAGGAAATGTGAATTTCCTGTTAAATGCTCTTCTGCTGTGCTCTGTGATAAGACCATTAGGACTTCCTGGAGTATTTAGGGGCCTAAAATAAAAAAGCGCATTAAAAAACTGTTAAGCTCATAAGGGACAACATTGATGTTACTTGTAATGAGAAGAGACAGCTTTTGCTTTTATTCCTGAACAATTACATAAGTATGAATGAAAAAACAAGACCACTAAGAAAAACAAAAAAAATATTGAATAAATATAACAAAATATATTTTTTTAAATAATAATTTAATATGTGTTTTTGTAACATGTGTGAGGCTTTTTTTCTAAAAAATTAAAAAGTTTGAAAAATTATTGTAATGCACAATAATTGGAAAAAATCTCATATAATTTGCGATTTTGTAGACAGATTTACATATATTTCCCGTAAATAAAATTACCATGCATTTTTATTTGTTTCTTCTAATTAAGAACGTCCCATGTGAAACCTAAGTGTTTAAGCTTTCTATGTAAACTTATTTGATTACTAGCAAAGGATATTGTATAATTTTCTGTCTTTTACCTGTAATGAGGAAATCTGTTTCATTAGGGTGAAACTTTATGCAATTTGAGTTGCAGTATATATTATAAGTTTTCAATAACTCTTTAAGTTATTAAAAACTTGTTTAAAAAAGTTATTAAAAACCAGAGAGTTGAGCTTAAAAGTCTGAAGCTTATATGGTAACTTTATTGATGTAGCAGCTTAGGCTGCTACATCAATAAAGTTACCATATACTAATCCTTAATTAAGAAAGAATTCGCTTGATTTGTAACCTTAGTATGAGACAGTTGCACAACTATAATATTATAATAAAAAGATCTAAGAATATGTAAAGGTAGCTTTTTATAATAAATGAAATACTTCAAAAAGAATTTCCCAGTTACAACTATTAAAGGTTTTTTCAGCATCTAAAGAATATAAATAAAGATGTAAGTTTTTACTTATATTTAATTAATATTTACTTATTACTACTTGTTAAATCATACTTTTAGTATGATTTATTAAATAGTATTATGACAGATGAAGACATCGATTTAGAAGGCTATACATAATTAATTGAGTAATTAAAGAAATTAATTAGCCATTGTGTTAGTGCATCACAATTTGCGTGTTTTAAATGTTCAGCTGAGATGCCAAACAAGTCTTGAGATTTACTTGATTTTAAGCTGGACTTTTAAACTGCTGCTCTAACATTTTCTTAAGTTATTATTTCACTACTTTATGCACATGCTTTGTGAGTTATTGAGTTATATTACTTTTTTTTTTTTTTTGAGTAGTGTTTAATAACTTTTCAAAAAAACTTGCAAATTCTCTGGTGATGGTTTTATTATCCTTTTTATTGTTTATTTTGAATAACCATGTACCTTTTTTTTTATATTTTTAAAAGCATTATAAAAGTTTTTTAATTTACTCTTTTTTAGCTTTTCAATTATAATGTATTGCTTGTAGAGTTTATTGATTTGAGCTAACTTAACAAAAATGTTCCTGGGCCATTTTGTATTGATTATAAGTAATGGAATTGTAATATTTTAAAACTCGGTATCTTTCTATTTTGAAAGTGATAAGAAAGAATGTTATGTAAAATATTTTTGTTTGCAAAAAAGTTTGATGTTCATGTTGGTGTTCTTTTTTTTTAAGTTTTAAAATTTTAGTTAATTGATAATATTGTAAACATAAATAACGTTTACATTATGTGTTTATTATCCAATAAAATGCATGATAAATTAGTTAAATTCAATAACAAAATCTTAAATCATTTTAAAGTTAAAAAAATTGACTTAAAGTTTTAAAGTCTTAACTCAGATTTTACTTAAATTTGATATTATAGTACAAATTCGTCTCAAATTTAAATTTGGGGTATACATATGGCTTAAATTCATCTTACAGTTAAATTTGGGTCTAAAAAGGTCACATTTGCTAGTCTTTACAACTTAAGCATAATTTTTTACACAAAAAATTTATATTTTAAATATATATTTTTTTAAATGTATATATTTTTTTAAATATATATTTTTTAGCTTTTAATAAGTTATATTAAATCAAACCGAAATAAATATTTGTCTCAAAAATTATAACTCAAAATCTATTTTGAGAAATTTCTAAATTTTCAACTTTATATTTTGAGGAATGAATTTCTAAATTTTCGACTTTATATTTTTATTTTATATAAATAATAGAATGCCTATGCTATTTAAAACATTCCCATGCTATTCGGCTCACTATGCAATGTAAAACTATGCTATTCATATCACTATGCCATACAAAGCATTAACAATTGAATAAGTAAAAGCTAGTGTTACTATTAAACTGACATCATCCAGTTCCTGGTTAAATATATAATATTCTTTTACATGAAAGTTTCCAAAAAATTTTCAACTAAATTTTTATGACAGCAAAAAGTTAATGGAATTTATGATATTGTAGCTGTGTTTCCTATTTTGTATATAGCAATTAACTTTTAATTATAACTAGTAATAACATTTGGTGACAAAAACAAAGAGACATGTGTTAATATATCTAGTTTTGATTTGAAAAATTACAATTTTATTTAAATATCAACATATTTTAAAATTATTTACTTGTCAATAACATAAAGGATGCAGAATCACACTAAACTGTTTTCTATTAACCTTTATAGGACCTGCTTACAAACTTACAAACTATTAAGCTTATGCCTATGTAAAAAAAAGTAAAAGGTTTTAATAAACATAATGTCAATTTGAAACCAACTGTTTACTCTTCCAAATCCACACAGTAAGAGCATATGAAGTACATAGAAATGCTGAGGTACTAAAGAAGATTCTTTAGAATAAGAAGGAATAACGAGACTAACTTAGAGCAAAAATGGAATGTTTTTGTTAATGGTTACATTGTTAATCATACAAATACAAAATCATACAAAGAATCAGAAACTTAGGAAGACCATTTATAATTGATATATAAATCAATGGTATAGAGATTTGTATAAAAGTTAATACAGAAGCAGTAGTTTCTGTAGTAAGTATTTTTGCTTATAGAAATGCAAAAGGAAATGATAAAAGATTGATAATGTCTGGGGTTGTGTTAAAGACCTACAATTGAGAACTTAATATACAAGTTAATGATAATAAAAATAGAGTTGGTTGAAGCTTGATGCAGAAGTTGAATTCAATTCACGTTAATTTAATTCACCTTTAAAAAGGCTCTTAAGGGGATCAAAAAAGCTACAATTTTTTTTTTGATATTAATTGCAACTCTCTCTTAACACTAAACCTCAAAACAAAAACTTTTTTAAACAAGACTGTGCAGAAAAACAGGTTGAGCATGGTACTACTAAAAGAGTAGGGCGGATGTGAACCATTAAACCATTCCACTGTGAGTCAAGTGTTCTACAACTAGCTGGAAATTATAATATTAAAGTAAAATACTATAATAAATTATAATATTGAAGTAAAATATTGTACTAAAATATAATATTAAAGTAAAATATTATAAATTATAGTATTAAAGTAAAATATTATAATAATTTATATATATTAAACACATTCTAACTGAAGTTTCTTCAATTAAACTTTTACTAGTTAAAAAATTAAGAAATCCACATAAAAAGCGAATCTCAGCAGGTAAAATGTCAACTACAAAGTGTTGAAATTAGAGAAATTATATAAAAAATCTGGAACATTTCTTTAAACGATTGTTGAAATAGCTAAAGATCACATTTAACATAGTAAAAACATATTTAAAGTATTATATATAATTTATGCAGAAGAATGTTGCAAATGTGTAATTAGGCTGCTAGTTAAACACTCAATATTAATTTATAAAATTAATCCAATTAAGTCAATGAGAAATTTTATAATATTGTATTTCTATTTCTTTTTTATTATAAAAATTAGTTGCATTTTTAGTATAAATGCAATTACCAAGTGTACCAGTATGAAGTGAGCATTAATATACAAATGTGTCAATGGGGAACATTTGTTGTAAACAAGCATTATTATTTTTATTTTTTTGGTTGGTACAACATCTGTCAAGCATTTAAACGTATTTAATATGCATTAATTCTTTGAACAAACATATTTTTTATTGTGTTAAGAATGTCTAATTTTTTACCAGAAAGTGATGATTTGCAGAAAGCATAAATATTTTGTTTTCATTTGAAGAAAAGTGCTACAGAGTCGCATTGAATGCTTGTTAAGGCATATGTCATACATGTACACCTGGTAAATTTAACAGTTAAAGATTTTTAGTTAAAATTAAATTACTGTTTTGCTTCCGTTTCTTCTGCTTTTCATTTTCTAAACGATTGAACTCCTCAGTTTCTTCTTCGCGCAAAACTCTTAATGCCTTTTCTTCATCCTCATATATTTTTCTTTGTTTCTTCAATAGTTCAATTGCCTTACTTACAGTTCCATCAAATGATATATTTTCATTTTCAGTAGGTAAGATCCCTGTAAGAAAACAGAATTCCAAAAATACAAAAAGATTTTTTTTTAATATCATGTATTTATATAATACATATTCTCACCTGACACAACATTTTAATTTTTTATAAATAATACTATCGATTTTTATATAAATGTATTTTAAAAATGTTTAATAAAACTTGTTTTCATATTTTCTCAACAAAGAAAAATATCTAAATACATTTTTGCTGGAAATAGAAAATATAAAAATACCCATATATATTGAAATTTACAAAGTTATTACCCTTGTAAATTGAGGTTTCTTTCCTTAAATCTCTGAGGTCTTTAAGTAGTTGAAATACTGCAATTCTTTCATCGGTTTCATATTGCTTTCTCTTAACTTCTACTAATGACTCTCCAGCTTCATTTTTCAGATTGTCGACCTAAAAAAAAAAAATTAAAAAGAAAAACTTCTTAAACATTAATTCTTTCAAATAAATTTCTTGAAAGAAAAACTTTATTTTTGCAATCAATTTAAACCATTTTTTGTCTCAGAATTTCCATTTGTTTCTTATGAATAGCATCATCAATTTGCTCATGCAACTTCATCCTTTTACTAATGTTAGCTAAGTATTCTTCTGATTCTTGTTTTTTTCTACGCCTTGCTCTTTCCTGGAAATCAAATCAAATTACTATATATTCTATGCCTTGCTTTTTCCTGGAAATCAAATCAAATTACTATATATTCTATGCCTTGCTTTTTCCTGGAAATAATCAAATTAAAAAATTTAGATAAAAATGATCACTAAAAAAATATTTCTAAAATTTTAATTTTAACAAACCCTTTTCTTTTTTCGAGCTTTTAGTTTTTCAGAAATAACTTTGATCTGAGCTTCATCAAACAATTGATCTTTCATTTGTAAGAGTTTTTCCTAAAAAAAATTTTGTATACAAAAATAATTTTTACAAAAAATGTCAAAAATATAATAATTTGAATAGAAGAAATATTTAAAATTAAAAAATTAAAATAAAATGCAACAATAATGAAAATCAATGAAAACAACCTTTCCACTATGGTAAAAAAAGAAAAATTAATTTTCAATGATCAGAAATTTAAAAACCTAAGTAAAAGTCACTTCATGGAGAATTAAGGCCATTATGAGTTTCAAACCTGTGAAACCAAGAGATTTACATTCACTTCATTTCACTATGAAACTGCTTAAATGTTTGGATTTATTTAAAAAGTTTGACCTTCACAAAATTAAAAAATTAAACTGTTTCTTTATTTAATAAGATCCAACCTCTTCAAGGCAAATAGTCAAAGAAAAGAAAAAAGTATAAATTAAAAACAAAAATGAATTTCTGTAGGAAAAAAGCAAGTCAGGCTATGTGTATTATATTATATTAGTCAAACAAAAATGCATCAATTAATAAAATGAATTTTATTTACAAATTAGAATCATAAATCTGATTTATCTTTTATAGATTATAATAATTATAATAACTTAAGTTAAATTTATAAGTTATTTATAATGTTAAGTTAAATTTATAGCTTGAGTTGTTGTTATAGTGTAATGTGCAAAATATTTATTTTGTTCGATTCCTGTAACATGATACTTAAAAAAGTAAAAGTAAAAACACAAATATTTAAACAAATATTACAATATTTAAACTGTTACAAAAAATTTAAAATTGAATTGATGATGAAAAGGATATTATCATAAAACATTAAACTTAATATTTTTGCAAAAAAATGTACAATCAATAGACAGAATAAGTTAATCAAATCAAAAAACAAACAAGTAAACTTATTAGATTTCATGTTCTGCTTAGATATATTGCTTTCTCGAAATCAGTTAAATTTTATCATTCAATGTGTTTTTAAGTAATGTTTTCATTAAATTTTTTTGGTTAAATTGTTTTGCTATAAAATAAAGCAAAAGAAAATAATTTGGTTTAATAGGACAAATTTTTTTTTCAAAAGTATAAGTTATATACTTAAGTATATCTGAATTTCAGATTTGAAAAATTTCATGATCAGAATTAAAGTAATTTATTTTTTTCAATTTAGATTATTTATAATTTTATTTTCAGTTCATTCATTTAATGTTTTCTATATTATGTTTCTACTTTAACTATTTTGAATGTTTGCAAGGCCTATTCTAGGACAAAAATTTGGGCGGTACCCCCTCTTTCCGGCAAACTTTAGCGGAGAATCTGTGCTTTTTTTGCAAAAAAGAAAAAACAATATTTGCCGCAAAAATGGTAAAATATAAATGTCTGTTGTAACCAATGATTGAATGTGTCATAAACACACTATACTCTTCAAGTAATTTTAATTGCTTTGTACTTGTGATCAATCCACCTAGTTCCACAAGCTTTTGTTGGTTTAGGAACACTATTACCCCAAGCTTTGGCTAACTTTCGATACAAATAATAGTTGTAATAATAATTCATCAACAGTTTTAAAGGAATTTAAACTTTCAAATGCATCTTTTAAAGCTAGGTCAGTGTACAAAAGCAGTGTACTAAAGCAGTGTACAACTTCCAGCCAAGGCAAACCTTCCTTTAGTAATGCACCTAAACCGGCATAAATTCACAGATTAACATTTGCTTAATCAAGGTGTACACCTGACAGATGTTTATAAACATTGGTAATGCCAACTCTCATAAAACCATCTGTTATACATTTTTTCAATTTAACTACATTAGAATTCTATGCTATTTCAAGAGATAAAAAATTCTACTTTTGGGCATCCATTTTCTAAATATAGAATATAAACTAATTCCTGTTCACATAATGCTAAATCTATGCTTCCATCACTGAGAAGGCAGTAAAATCTACAACTTTTTAAGCATTCAATTAATTTATTTTTAATTAACAATCCAGTCTATTAATGGTAATGTGCCTGATTCGATCCAAGTCATAGAAAACAACTTTGCTTGATTTATCCGCTTTTCGAATCATTTACATAAGCTGCATCATAATCATATTATTAAAATCAAATGTTTCTCCTATGTTTTTTACTATTAGTTTATTCCAATGATCCTTATTTGCATCCATTTATTGATCAAATTTAAAATAAGTAAATATATTAATGAATTATTTTTTTATCACTAAAAAGTACTTTGGATTGAATTGACACTATTTTTCATATAAACAAACTTGAAAAAATAGTCATAAAAAATGATCAATATTGAAATGAAGCCCTTGAGAATTTGGATTAAGAAATTCACTTTTCAATCAATAACTTTTTTGTCTTTCCTTCATTGCTGGAATAAAGTCCTTGAGAGTTTAGGTTGAGAAAATTTATTTTTCAATCAATTTTTTTTTTTTCCTTTGTTAAAAATTTTAGTTGCTATGATTTTAAAATCTATTATCTAATTCTATTTTTATTTTATTTTTTTTACAAGTTCATCTAAAGTATTTTCATTTTATTTTTTTCTGAATCTGAACATTTTTGCAAAATGATTTTGATACTTTTATTAAGTCTTTCATTTTTATTTTTAGTTTCTATAATTTTCCGTTTTTAGAAAACCTGGTATTCATCACAACAGATTCCATTATATTGAGTTGGTATTGCATTTTTTATATTCTATCCAAAATTTCTTGATTAAATTAAATTTTGGTTAAAAGCATTATATGTGACAATAACATAAAATAAAGAAACATTCAAAAATTTTGCAAGTTTAGTATTGTTTGAGCATCTTATGTATATTTATTAGTTAAGAACTTAATGGTTGTTTTGATTTACTTTAAATAAAAATAATTTTAAAAAATATAAAAAATATAAAAAAAGGTTAACTTAGTGTGAAGTACTTTATTGATGTAGAAAATCACACTAAATCTTAACTTTAAAATTGAATTAGGCAGTTACTAACTTCCACGCAGAGGTTTAAGTAATTAAAACTCACAAGCGCTTCATGATAAATAAAAGTCTTTGTGATCAAAAATATCTAATACTTTACTTAACAGTTAAATTTAGCGTGGCATTACTTTATGAATTTTGTTAACACAATAACATTTAAAATCTAAAAAAACTCACACTACTTATTTGAAACTTTTAGGAATCGCCAAATGGAAGAATGGCCAAAAAAAAAAAGCTAATTAAAAAAAAATACTTCCAGAAAAAAAAACAAATTGCATAAAGAAAATTTTAAAGAAAAAACAAATTGCAAAGGTGAGGAAAGCTACCACGATTCGCTTAATTCGAGCCCTGTACTAAATGCTTACTAGCTAATATTCCAAGTCTATCCTTTTTTTAACTGCAACTCTAACCCTAGGACAAATTAGAGCAATTTTTTATTAGATAATAAATAATTAAAAAGTGCTAAACTTCTAAGAATTCTCAGATTTGGGAGATATAAAAATTAGCGAAAAACCCTTTGGGAGATATAAAAATTAGTGAAAAAAAGGTTTTCATAATCTGACCGTTACCTTGTATATTTTTCCTTCTGCAACATGAACTTGCCATTGCGACTCATTCATAGTTATGTTTTCTGCTAATGAATTACTATGATCTCTTATTGTGTTCATCAAAGTTATATATTCTTTTAGCAAATCTTTATATTCAAAAATCTAATATTAAAAATAAAAACTTGAAGCAGTTGTAATGCCAAAACTATATTAAGTTAAAATATTATTTAAATTAAACAAAATAAAATTAAACAAACAAAAAGTAACTGTATTAATTAAAATTAGTATACCTTTAAAATCTTTTTCTGCTCCTTTTTTGTACCATTTTGTCTAGTTTTGAGCCAGCTTTCAACCATTGAAACAATATTTTCTTTAAAATCATTTTGATTATCTTTTGATACAATACTTTTGTGATTTGTAAAATTTTTATTAGGAGGGAGATTTTGAAAATTCAGATTTTGTTGATTTCCTGGAACAGACATAAAACTTGATGGAATGGGCATAGCGTCTAAATGTGTTGGAATCGGTGATGGAAATATGTCCACTTGATTCACAAAAAGATTAGGAACACAGTTATTGCTTTGTTTAAGATCAGTTGAAAATTGCAATGGCTGTATAGTATGCCATTGCTCAGGTGAAGAATGCACATTTCGTTGATTACCTTCCTCAAAACCAAATACTTTAAAATTTTGTTGTCGATTATTTGTATTGGTTTTTGGTAAACTGTTATTTTGAAAATCCTGTGCTCGAAACGATGGTTTTTGGGCCCTTGGAAAACTATTCATTTGCATATATCCCGCCCTTGGGTCACGTCTAAAAAATGGTTCTATTCCTGGATAATTTGGTGAGTGTTCTGGAACCATTGGAAAGTGGGCCTGCTGAAATGTAAAATTTGGTATGTTATTATAATTTGGAGATGAATATAATGGAAAATCGATTGGTTGATTAGAAAATCTTTGATTGTTTCCATTAGGTAGGTTGAAAGGTATTTGATTGATTCCAGGTGGTTGGTCAAAATGTAACCGATTTGTCCCATGAAGTTGGTTATAAGGTATTTGTAATGGATTGAAGGTATTTGATACATTTGGATGTTCAGTAAACAAATGCCTATCATTAGGAAAATTATTTAAGTTTTCCATTTTTAAAAACTGAAATAAAACAGAATTTTTTTAAAACCATTTTAGCATTTAAATAAATGCTTAACAGTTTATATTATGCTAGAAAATGTTAGGTATTATTCTAATTGTTTTATAACAATACCTTAAAAAAAGATTATTGAATTTACTTTTTTATTACATATAAAATAGAGATGTGAAGTCCCAAAAGGACTCTGGCTTTATATCTCTACTTTTTCCAAGTCTGTAGTGTCCAGAAGCTCTAAACATGTTTGTTGACTTAAAATCTGCTATAAGAAAAAAAATTAATGAGATTTAATGTTTATTTTTGTTTTTAAGCCCAGAGTCCTGGAGTTCTTGCCACCATTATACGTAAGGGCTGCGGGTTTAGTAGTAGTTAATAGTAGTCCATAAACTTGTTTATATTTTTAGAGCTCCTGGATACAAAAAACTAGAAAGAAGTAATTTTTTGGGAATTTCAAATCCGGAGTCCCTTTTTAGACTCCACATCCCTGATATAAATATTATAAAAAATATATAGATATTTTAAGATATTTTTGTATCTTAAACACATTTTGAAATTTATGATGTCTAAGTTGCTTTACTTATTCAACTGAAAATGTTAGTAATTCCTCTTTTCCAGAGATTCGCATATTTCTTTTATTACACTACCATACAATATACATATATTTTACTGTAAACTACCATACAAAATACATACATTTTACTGTCATCTTTATATGTTATTTTTACATTTATTTTATTAAGACTTTAGTTCTTTAAACCTTTTTATGTTATACTAAACCAATAGTTGTAAGAATGTGGTACAACTGCTGTGCAACAACTTTTATAAATGAACAATTTTCTAGTGTAAGTATAACAACTCAATGTCAGTTGTATAACAAAATTTGTTGTAAAACAACTGTTGCAAAGTTTGGAAACAAATGAATTTCTACAACAATTGTTGTACAACAAAATCACAAAACTGTTGTACATAATTTCTACAACTATTGAAAACTAAGCTAAACAAAAATAAAACTTATGAAACTATTTTTATCAAATAACAATATTTTTTATGGATTACGATAATTGATATTATAATAGTGGATAGTCCTAGGTTTATAACCTTTAAATAATTATTTAAAAAACTTTAAAATACTTGTTAACATAATTTTATTTATATATATATATATATATATATATATATATATATATATATATATATATATATATATATATATATATATATATATATATATATATATATATATATATATATATATATATATATATATATATATATATATATATATATATATATATATATATATATATATATATATATATATATATATATACTTGTTAACATATATTGACTTCATAAATTAGTTGAATGGAGGCTTTTTAATTACAGAAAAGTGTTCTACAACAAATCATTCAAAACCAAAACAAATAAAATAATCTTTTTAAATATAAGAGCACACTGTGGACCAGAGTGACCACCAGGTTAAGCTGTTCTCCAGGTCTGATTTTTCTTTTTCAATAGTTGGGTATACATTAGTAGACACCATTTATGACATTAAAAACTCCTGAGTGATTGGACAAAGTCAAAAAAAATTTGCTTAAAAATATTTATTTTTAGCCATAAAAATCTTAATAAATTAGGCAAAAACTCAGTTGAAAAAAGTCTGTTGAAAATCATCCGAAAGGTCCGTTAAAAATCATCAAATATCAATGACATTGTTGATGAAATCAATGCTTCTAATGATTCTGAACGTGCGAAGTCTTCCACAGACAATGTTTAACATGCTTGGGTTTTGTAGGTTATTATTATTGTTGTTTTATTTTTTTATATATTTAATCCTTCACATAGCAAAATTGATTGTACCTAATAAAATATTTAATTAAAAATTTTGTTTATTTTTTTCAAACAAAAATATTTAGTGTAAGAAGTAGCTCATATCTGTACAGAGAGCAGAGCTGTCAACAATGTCATTGAAGCAGCAGAACAGCTTAGACCTAAATATTCAGAGCTGAAGGCAAGTATATTAAGCTAAATACATTACATATACATATTAATATAAATATATACTTTAAAATTCCAAATAATAAACATATTTTATTAATGGATGTTTCCAGATATACTTAGGCACAAGACAGAAGCTGAAAATATTTGTAGAGGACAAAAGTTTCAGCTGGCTACTCAAGGGTCTTCTCTGAACATTGTGGTTGGGATTCCTGACAAAAAAAACTGACCGAATTGAGCTGAAACAGGTGTCCTTTAGTACTGTTATGGAGTTGGTTAAATCTCTTGAGCTTTCAAAAATTCAAACAAAGAATTTTTGTTCCAAATATAGATCTAGTATGGGAACACAAACCTGCATTGAAACAAACATCTTTGAAAAAATTGAGTTTCTCCATAACTGTATAGATAAATTTTACACTTCTAAAGAAGTAGATTTTATGGATGGAGAAGAAGTCATTACTAGAACATTGGTTCATGTAAAAGACACATCTACATTTATACTGCACGTCATTACAGAAAGAGGAATAGATCCACATGACTCCATATTGAGAATAGCTATGGATTCAGGTTAGGGATTCCTTAAAGTTACTGTAAATGTTTTTAATCCCATGGAAAAAACTCCTTCAGATTCAGAGCTAGATGGTCTGGAGGAAAGAGATCCTTTCTTATAGCAATTGTTTTGGTTTCTGAAGCTAACGATATTCTTTCAGAGCTTATTGAGCCTCTGAATTTAAACGATGTAAAGTTTTATGTGGCACTTGATCTTAAATGTGCAAATTCAGTGTTCGAAATTAGTAGTCATGATGGGAAATACAGTTGTTTATATTGTGAGGGATCCTGCACTCTTGAGCCTGGCATCAAGAGAACACTTATGTACTTGGATGAGCACTACAACAACTTTAACTTTGACGGAAAGAAGTTAAAAATGTCATACTTTAAAAATGTTAAAAATCCAAGACTTTTGTACAAAAAGGAAGATCCTAACACTTCTTGAGGACTTGATTCATGTTCTGAAGCTCCATGTTCTAATGGGAATAGCAAGTAAACTTGCAGTGCTTCTAGTTAGTGTATGGCCTTTGTTTGAGAAGTGGTTACAATCAAATTACATCATGTTTTAAGGATACCAAGGCGTAGGACGGAAACAATGCAAACAAGTTCCTGAAGTTGGTGGATATACTTGAAAAAGATATTATAAACAATGGAAAATATGACTTATTACCAATAGTAAACTGTCTTAGAAAATTTAAATGCCTTCAAGCAGAAGCGTTTGGTATGGTAGCAGGGGATAACATCAACATAACTGTTCTGGAGTTTAAAAAGTCCTAAGCAGATTTGATTGAATACGTGCATGCCACATTTGAGGGTATTGTGCTCAGTGTTACATGGAAAGTTCACATAGCAGTATATCATATACTTCTTTTTCTTCATTCTACTGACTGAGACCTAGGAGTTTACCGAGAGCAAACAGGAGAAGCTGTTCATCATGAATTCAAAAACATGGAATAGATACAAATAAAGAGTTAACCATATAGAATATGTAAAAAGGATAAAATCCAGTGTTGTTGAGTTAGCATCAAAAAACATTAAATAAATTGAATAATTATATAATTTAATGTTTATAATTTCAACTATATATTGTAAAGTATATTATTTATAGCAATTAGACTTATAATGTAACTAATTAACATAAGATTTTTTACTTTGTGCTTTTATTTGTATAGGATAAGTTATAGCTATTTTTTGATTTTTTTTTTTCTTAATTTTTTTTTTGAAATTTTTTCTCAGAAAACCTCATAAGTTTTAAATGTTATAAATAGTGTCTACTAATGTATACAAAACTTTTGAAAAAAAAAATCAGACCTGGAAAACATTTTAATCCGGTGGTCACTCAGGTCCACAGTGATAAGTTATAGCTATTTTTTAATTTTTTTGTTAATATTTTTTTGAAAATTCCAACACCCCAGAAGTTCTGAATAATATAAATGGTCTAATGTATACCTAACTATTGAAAAAATCAGACCTGGGAACAACTTAACTTGGCAGTCACTCTGGTCCACAGTGAGCAGTTCAAATTAAGAATTTTAACAAAGAAATAAAATAAACAAAAATTTAAAAAAATCTAGTCTGTTTTTTATATCTTTTTATCAATTTAACTTACCAATTAAATTTAACAAAACTTTAAAATACTAATTATATTATACAGAAAAATCATTAACCTTTTATTAACCCATCTGTATGAATATCAACCATTAATGGATTAACGATTAATCGATCAATTTAAATTTTAATTTGTGATTGTTGGATTAAAGTTAAGTTTAAGTTAAAACTTAAAAAAATATATTTACTTTAAGGGCTAATAAATGTAGAAAAAACAAAGCAATTGGTTTAATAAATGAATATATCAATATAAAAACATTTTTTCAAAAAGATATTTCTATATCTCAAAAATAAAAATGATCTTATATCTAGTTCTAAAAAGACTTTGATCAGTAACAAAGGAAATGTAATATTAAAAATAGTATATACACATTTTTTTTACAAAACATAAACATGCAGAATATATAATAAAAGTAGATTTTTTTTTGTTTTTATAAAGTGTATGTTTAAAAATAGACTGTTTTTCAATAAATTATGACAAGACTTCAATGGAAGTTGTTTATTATTGTTTTTAAAAAATTGGAAAAAAAAATTTAGATAAAAACAAAGAAGCCTTTAACAAAGCTACAAAATGAGGACTGGGATATAAATCTGTATAGTAATACTTGAAATAACAAATCATATACATATAAAATATGCTCAACTTGTCAAATTGACCATGATACTGAGACAACCGAAAACTGTTCAAAAGCCATATAATAATTAAATAAGTACTTTCTAAAAATTTTTGGTCATACCAAAACTTGCTTTGGTAGGATAATATCATAGAATGAACTCTTTATACAAGTAACAAATATTTTAATATATTCACATTGGCTTCTATAATAAATAAAAAATATCTTAAAAATTTAAACACAAATGTCTTTTTAACAAAATATATATATATAAAAATAAAACTATGAAAGAATGAGCTGTTTTAACAGCGTTATTGATTCATGATCTAACGACAGTAAATTAAAATCAAATGTTGTTGATGTAATGTCAAAATGTCCAGACTCCTCAACAATATCAACAATTCTCTGTAATTTATCATCATCTTGACAATTGTTAAGAGCTTTGTACAATTCATATAAATCATTTGAAACTGGCAAAGATTTGGGTAGTGTCTTCCCAACATCTGTTACTCTCATTCTAAGTTTATACAACAAAAGTATAAAAATTAAAAACTTAATTTAAAAAATGTAAAAAATATTTTTACACATTGAAATAACAAAACAAACATTGGATAAAGAAATTGAGAAATAATTTTATATTTTTAATGTAAAAAGCATAATACATTGTGAAAAGAATTCCACAGAGTATTTTTATAAAATCAAGAGTAAAATTTGAAAATTACTGTAAAAACTACGCTTATTTTTAAAATTTTCAAAAACTTCAATTTGTATATTTCCAGGTAAAGGAAGGGCTACATTTTAACTGATTAATTTCAACTAATTTTTGATTATAGTGTTGTTCTTTAGTTCTAAAATCAGATTTCTAAGCACTATACCTTATAAATACCACTATAAAAAATACCCTATACCCTATACCTAAGATTCTAGGATAACCAATCAACAAAGCTTTTGTTTATTTTTGTTAATTTTAAAATTAAACTTAATTTAATAAACTTACTTTGCAATTTCTTTTTTTGGAGTTATGTTTTCAGTATCATTAAGGATAGATTTATGAACTTTTGATTTCTTTGGTTTTGAAATATGTGTATGAGAACTTTCAGAAGAATGGGGCTGAGTTGTCGCTGAAACTGATATTTCATTTTTTATTATTTTTGTTAAGTCACTTGAAAGATCTGCATGAATACCATCATCAGAGCTATGGTCATCTAGATTATTGTCAGTCAAAAGAGCACTTTTGCATTCAATCTGCATTGCAGGTTCATGATTTAATGAATGATTAACAATTGTTGTGTTACCTCCATTACTAGAAACTCCAGTAGTTGTTGCTGATGGCTTTTTAATATAAACATCATCAGGTGTTCGTGTAAATAACAACTTTGGTAGTTTTGGCAAATCATCTTTTAAAGATTGTAGAGGCTCAGAAGTCTTTTCTTTTTTTGTTTTTAATTCTTTTCCTCTATATTTGTGTTCTTTAGGTTTACTGGTAGTTGAATTACTATTTGTTGATTGTACTTCTTTTTTAACTTCTTTTGGTTTTTTGTGAGTCTGTTGAAAATTTTTGCTTTTTTGAACATCACTTGTTTCAGAACAATTAGCATTCAACAAAATTGGTTTCGATAAAATTGGAACATCTTTTGGGGGCTTGACATTTTGCATTCCAACATCAGATTTTTCAAGTTTCTTTTTTTTTAACTTTGTTTCATCATCAGGGTGCAATTGTCGCTTTATGCTTAGAGATTGTTGTAAGTTTTGTTTTGGGGTTTTTGTTGCGTTCATAGATGATTTACTTTGACTATTAGCAACAAAGTCTAGAGATGGAGATGCAATACTTTTTGAAACTTGAGTTTCAGATTTCGTTACAGAACCTAAAGAACTATATAAAAAAATTTCAATATAAATTTAAATATAAAATGCCTATTTATAATGAGTAAAGGAACATAGTAAAATTGAAAATGTTAAAATGAACTAACTAGTATAAAACTGGTAATCAAAAAAAATTCAAAATAGTAAATAGCTGTCACAAAGAAATCTTTGTCATTTTACAGGAACAAAAAAATAAAATGTTATTATTATCATTATAAGTGTTAATATAAATTGGTTTGTAGCCATAACAACTGCAACATATAAACAATAATAATTGCTGTTTAATTTTTTATGGTTTTTAAATAGGTTCTTAAATATTTTTTTTAATATACTTTTAAGATTCATTATAATTGAATAATAAACTGTGGGTCTGATTTTAATTGCCTGTTTTAAACTTCAAAATTTTCGAAACTCAAAAACAAGGTATAAACACACAAATAGTATCAATAAAAATAACTATAAAGGAAAGATACCTTGTCACTGGTGGTAGGATACATGCACCTCCACGCAAAAGTTTAGCTTCAAAATCATCTGATGGGTTCAAAAACGTTAATGCTTCAACTTTAATATGGTTTACTGGCGGTTTACCTAATAATTGTAAGAATAAATCATAATCTAAGCGATATTTGCGTGGTTCTTCTTTATTATTACGAAAATGAATTTCAACTGGTAGAGTAAAACTTCCGTATCCTGACTCAGCAACTTTATAAGGTGGTTCTTTGCATACTAAAAAAAACGACTTAAGAAATTTATAATTTTAATGTCTAAAAATAATAATATAAATTTTACGATGAAATATATTATAAACTAAAAGAATATAAAATATATATATAAATAACGAACAAAAAATTGATCAATAAAATCAAGTTTAGAAAACCTCTTTTTGGTTTGGGAAAACTTTCATGTAATAAAAACACAACTTTTTCAACAAAATGAGAAATATCATTTCCTTCAGCACCACGTACAAAAATATTCCAATCATGTGTGAAGCCAGTTGGTGTTACTACATTCTTGCATACAGACTGATGACCAACTTCAATTTTGACTTGAACCCGTTTCTTAAAAAATGGAAAATAATTATAAATACATGACACAATTAACTCAAGTTTCTTAGAAAAAAGAGAATGGGTGACTAAATAACTTTATATTTAGTAAAATTAAAATCTAATCCCTATCAGATTTAAAGCGTAAATAAACTGGTCTGATTACTACAGTTTGCATTAATTAAAAAAAAAAAAAAAAAAAATTTCTTGTGCTATGAATTTCTTTTATTTCATTAACGCCAGCTAAGACAGAAAAATTTGGTTGAATATACACCAGTGATTTTCTACTTAAATAATACATTTTTTAATTATGAAATCTTTTTAAAAATGTTTGGGTCCTGTAAAAATGGGTAGTTTTAAATAAAATCTAAATAATTAAATGAACTAATTGTAAGAAAAAACATTTAAAAACATGGTTTTAAAAGTCGCAATTTGGGTTCTATTTGGGTTTTATTTGGGTTTAGACTGACGATTGGTAGAGGCAATTTTTCAAGACCTAAATTTAACTTTCCAAGACTAACAAATTTAGAACATATGGATTCACTAAATTTAACTGGAAGACAAATTTAGTCCATGTGTACACTGAATTAAACTGAAAGACAAATTTGAACCTTTACAACAAATTTAACTGAAAGCCAAATTTCGATTTTATAAACCAAAAATATATTTTTTAAACTTGTAATTAACCATACTTCAAAACATGACAAAACAGAAGTGAAATAAAGTAATTTTTTATTTATTGAAATAAAAAATACACACTTATAAAAAAACACAATTTGTGTCAAAAAATAAATCAAAAATCTAAAAATGCAGCTATAAAGAGAATTTAAAATTATGCAACTTGTTTCCAAAGCCGAGGGTGTTATTTTTTTAATAGTGGTTGCAACCCTCTCTTAACTCTGTTCAAGGCTGCTGCACGCAAAAACAGATTGATATGCATGAAACATGTAAAATATAAAATTAACTTAATATGTTTTTGTTTTTAAACAAGAAAAAAAAATATTCATCTTTTAAGCTTGAAAACTTTAACTTTAAGCATAAAAAATAAATAAACTGCTAGAAAGTTTTGTTTACGTTTACTTATTTTTATAAACGCATTTCTTTGTAATTCTATAAAAAATAGTATCTTTAAAGAGGTTTATTTAGGATAGGTACAATCAGCAGAATACCCTGGCTGAGCTGATCAGCAGATTATAAAATAAGCTGAATTCTTATATGTGATTTGCGAAATAGTTCAGCAGAAAAAATGTTAGAATTATTTTATTATGATCTGCCAAATATGCTATAATAATCTCTTCATATTGAAACTTAATAATAGAAAAAAACAATATAAATATACAACTTGTCACGCTTGATTGAAAGTTGATAGTAAAAAGGATATATTTTATTAGTTAATATAAAACTACTGATTATATTTTATATTTTACCATCAACCTTTAATCAATTGTGATACATTGTACCTAAACTTGCTGAAATCAGAACAACCTAAACCAACATATGATCTACCAAATTATTTGACAGAACACATATTAGAATACGGCATTTCAGTTTTTTTTTTTGGTAAAGCATTTACAACCTAAGACAAAAAATATTTGTACACAAGACTTATGCCTCTAAACATTTGATTCTTTTTAGGAATAACTTTTTATATTTAGATTGCTTTGTGTGCATGTGACCTACCAAAATTATCTGGCAGATTATTTTTAGGAATTTTATAATTCTGATTTTATAATTTGCAGTTTGTACCATATAAATGATTTACTCAGATATTAAAATCTGAGTAAATCATTTATATGGTTTCTTTCTCCTAGTGATAGTGTGTTAACAAGAGTTTTAAAAAATTTGCTATTGATATTGTAGATTAAATTTGAAAGTTCTGTTCTTTAAATGTTAATTATACAGCAACAAAAACATTTATATCTATATTTATCTTATGCATCTTATATTATAAGTTACTATCATCTTTTTAAAATTTGTCATTTTAAAGGGTGCTTTTTTACCCAAATTATTTTTTTTATAACAAATATGGGTTATGTAACATATTATTAGATATTATTATATATATATTATGTAACATATTATTACATTATTACATAACATATATGGGTTATGTACTCATTTTTTTAATTTTGCATATAAAAATAAGTATTTAAAATAAGTAAATAAGTATTTAAAATAAGTAAATAAGTATCCTGTATTTGTATTACCTGAATTAACATCTGTTTTATACAAATAATCTTTTTATATATATCAAACATTAAAAATATTTATATATTTGTTGATCAGCTGAATTAAATTGTAACAAAAAACTGTTGTTTTTTTCAACTATACTTCAGGTCAGGTTTAGAATCATATTTATCATCCTGCTACTGCTAGGATTTGCTTTTCTAGGCAAAGACTAACTGACTTAAAATAACCCAGCTTTAAGGCTCTGGGTTGAAAAAAGGCTAGAGACTGATAAAAATAATTTAGATATTAACTACATCCAGCTATTGTCTTGTAAAAGACAATTTGGAGGCAAGCAGAAAAATTCTGTTAACCAGTTTTGCATATCATTTTTTATCTATTAGGCTGAAGATGTAAACCTGTGTTATATTGTTTCCTGTCTAAATATATAAATGCTGGTTCTTCTTGATTCTACTCAAGAATATATTGCTGGTGCCTACATGATAGTGGCTATGTTACTTTTCATGCTATCTTCTAATAAGGAAGCAGTTCTAAAACTTATTGGTTCTGAGGCCAGCTGATAATAAGGTTTCCTGAACTCTGTGGTAACTCTCAGAGAGGATTTTCCATCAGTAGCTTAAAAATTGTTGAATATTAATAATATTATGCATTAATTATACCATGCAACTTTTGGTTAATTAGCAGGACTGATTTCAAATCGGGTTTGAATCCTCTGACCATTTTTTGATGTGCTTCCGCTTATGATTCCGATGTGATTACCTCTTCACTCAATAACCTCTATGTTCTTTATCAGTCTCCTTTTTCAAGAATGCACTCTTTTTTGATGTTATTTCTAATCAAATCAACTAAGCCTATTCTCTTTGTCTTTCTATTTTTATTCATAATTATTTTTTTTCATCTTTTTCACAAAAAAACTTTCTTAGGAACAGGTGTTATTTTACTATGGAAAAAAATTATTGTAAAAAGGTTCTGATACTAAGTTTTAATATTTTTCTTTCTCTCTTAAATCAAATGGTCACACTCTTTCTGTCATTGAAAAGAAACAGGTTAACCCAATGTAAGACGTTCACATCATTCCAGCGTTCTTTGTTTAAATTATTTCTCTTTTAAACTCGACTGCATGTGGTCCAGACAACATTCTTGACATAGTCTTACTAAAGTGTTTTCCAGAACTCTCTTTAATACATATAAACTATTTAATAACTGAATCTTGTTTTTTTGTCTGCTGGAAAATGAAATCTGTGGTTCCAATTTTTTAAAAAACTCTTTAAACACTTTGGCATGTTAACTGTTATAACAGTAAGGATCTTCCAGACATTAGATGATTTCTTCATGCTATAAAAACTTTTGTGCAGTTTCTTTTCTCATACATCAATTCTTTAAAACTCGTTTCCATCTTCATGCTTTTCTGACTCATAACTTACAGTATCTTAAGTCTTTTGTCAGCCTTTCTCTTTCTTTTTAGCAATATTCTTTGTTCTCTGGTAACTCCTAACTTAAATAGAGTAAATTAAATTAAAACCAAAATAAACGCCATTATATAGGGTTTCAGTTGATAAGTAGAAGATAAGATATATTGATAACCTGAAGTACAGAAATTGTCAATTGTTAAGCGATATCCTACCTAAAAGTGGTAAATTCATAATTTATTTATGTTCCTTTCAGTACAGTTTGATTCCAAATAATCTTCTAAATGGGATAGATTGCACCAAATTTAGATGACCTTTATAAAACATGAGATATTTATCAATGCTCCTTTCAGAAATATAAAATGAAAATTAATTATATATGGCCTTAAGGAAGGCTTTATATAATATGGTTTAGACTGTGGATGAATTTGTTTTAATATTGAAGTTCATCAAAGTCTAAATTATTTTGATTGTTGCAGTATCTTCTGTGAATAGCTTAGAGAAAGTAGGTGTTTCAAACACTTCTTGTTGCCCAGTATATTATTTCTTCTAACATATTCATAAATATTACCCAGTGCATTAATTCCTCTAATATTCTTATAACCCCTTGAAGTATTCTAAGAAAAACATGCATAACTGCAACAACTGACAGCCATAACCTTGATGCTGGTTCTAACTGCTGTATTTTAAATTCATCTGAAACAATATGTACAACTCAAAAAATAATTGAAAATATTCCAAACATCAAGCTGTTTCGGTAGTGTTGTCAGGTGCTTTAAAAAACTGATACTTTAACAAAGGGAAGTCAAGCTAATTCGAAGAACATATAGGGAGTATGCATTGAAAATGAGCATTTTATATTGAGACTCATAATTTGGCAGGTATATATTTGAATGCGCTGAAATAAATTTTACCAGAAAGCTAAAACCCTAGACTGTAAACATCAGTCTAATTTTAACTGCCTGAGTATAAAGAGGTTTTTACCCAAAATTCAAACATGGCTGAGTTTGTACCTATTATATAATTCCAGCTCGCAGTTATATATTATAAGCTGCTTAAACCGAACAAGACCATTACAGTAGACCGCTACCTACGACAACTAATCAAGATGAGCCAAGCATTGAAGAATAAAAGGCTGCAATAAACCAAAAGACATGACACAATTATTCTTCAACATGACAATTCAATATGTTGTAAAAAACTACCTAAAGAACCTAAAATGGCAATTCCACCCATCCGCCGCATTTGTCAGAGATTGCTCCCATCTGATTACCATTTATTCTGATCAATGACACATGACTGAGCAGAGATTTTCTTCTTATAATGATACCAAAAAATGGGTCAATGACTGGATTACTTCAAAAGACCACAAAATTTTCCAGCATAAAACCCACACTCTACCTGAAAGATGGGAGGTCGTAGCTGCCAAGTGACAGTATTTTGATTTATCTGAGTCTTCTCAAAATAAACTATTGCTTTTTTAAAAAAAATGTTCATTTACAATGCATAATCCCAATAAATAACATACCAAACCAAGTTAAGCCTAACTTTGACTTTCTTGGAAATCATATTTAATTTAGCTATTATCTTCCCAACTACTTATTCACTATCACTAATTTTCGTTGTATTTCACTGAAATAAACATAAACAATATAATAAAGAAATACATCTACAAACTGAGAAAATTCTTATAAATCATTTTTAGTAAAAAAAAAAACTTTTATAAAAAACTTATAAATAAAAAATTTATTTACAAAATAACTGCAATGAAAATACAACACAAATAAATAAAGTAAAAAAAATTAAAACCCAATATAGATACCAGGCTAATAGTATATATGTTATTTAAAATGCTGTACACTTATTTAAACTTAAGTAATAAAAGATAAGTTTTGTAGTTAGAAACATAATTATGTTCAGGGTTCTATACAAACATTGGAAATAAAGCAAATTGTTAAATAAAAGGTTACGATAATGCTGAATTAAAAGAAAATAATTCCTTTAAATCGAATTGTACTCGTGGCCATAACCTAAAATATTCTAAAGAATTTTCTATACATAATTATAGAGAAAATATTTTACTAAACCGAGATACAAATTATTCAAAATATTGTTAAATCTAATTCAGTGAATTCATTTAAAGCAAGACTTGATCGATGCAAGTCAAACTATAACAAGACTCAGCTGTCATAGTGTGCTTTAAAACCACACTCACTGGTATTGCTACCAGTGAGCCAGTCACAGCATAAACTAATACTAATAATAATTGCACAAAAATCAAATGAATTAAAGACATGAATAGTGCCTGACATGAATCTTACTTGTTTTAAAACTTTCATTATCTTAAATTTTTTAATTTTAGTAATATTTAATGAACTGTTTTCAAAAAATAAATTAACCATTACAGTTTACCCTATTCATTACTTTATTAAATGATTACTACTTAATACACAGGAGAATTTTGACAATAGTGTTGCAGCTCTAGTTCTTTAAAACATTGAAAGATAACTGTGTTTTGTTCTACTCTATTTTATATAGTCTCTTTAAATTTGCATGAGTTTGATGTAATATTGGAACACAATTTTCTACCTTTTATAGTTGTCGATAAATTATTGTATGTGTGGGATGATTTATTAAAAGGATGGCAAGTTGTATTGATAGTCGGTTTTTAAGACACATGCATTTGAAGGCATTTTGTTCATAGTTTTGCCTTTAACATAGTTAATTGAGGAAACCCAACAGAGATCAATCAAGTTCTATTTGTGAAAATTTTTGAGAATTGAAAAAAAGGGAATACAACTTATAGTAGAAAAGAAGCACTTTTGATTTGCAGCTAAAAAAAAAGCTAGACAAAAAAACTGACTCATTGAACTATCATTTTGATGAAGAACTACATATTGATGCCCACATTTAACATATAAAACATTTAACATTTAAAATTGTTATCATGAAGTTAACTTCATCAATTCAACAATTCAATTAAGCATTAAAAAAATGACAACCAACCTAGAATGAATAATTTGTAATACAGGATATCTTAAAATTGCATTACAAGATATTAAGATATCAGTTTTTAATGGAAAATAAAATCAGAAACATTTTTTTAACAAGTGTTGTTTAAAGCAAATTGTTATTAAATTATTTCTATTTTTATTTGACAGATTACAAAACTTTATATTTGGAATAATTGTTAACAAAAGCTTGTAACAAACACAGATAATGGTATAACCAAACTTTATACTTTAAGCAGTTGAAAACAAAAGCTTGTAACAAACACAGATAATGATATGACTAAACAGTCAAGCTAATACACTAAAGGTATATATATTTTAGCATAAAATAAGAACTATAGTGATACATTTTCCACTTTAGTGGTAAATGATTGTTAAATCTTTTTTTTTTAATTGATTATAATTTATTGAGGCAATTAAGTATAAAAAGTTCAATTAGGTAATAATTTTATTGAGTGTTTGTTTTGTTTTGTTTTTTGTAAATATAACTTATTTAAATGTAAATATTTAAGTGTTATCGTTCATTGAGCACACGGGTATTTTTAGCGTCTTACGGTAGCAACAACAAACAATATTATGATATATTCAATCTATTTTTAAAAAATTAACTGAATATATAATATTGCTACAAGGAAGAACTTTACTTCTGCTGCTTAAAATCATTAAAATATGCTTATAAGGATGAAATAATTTTTGGAATCTTACGTCACAAGAAGAAGACATCAGTTAACCACTAAATTATACTCTTTTCTCCTCGCTCTGGAAAAAAAGCGTTTGATCCATTTGCTTTTCGACCTGATTTTCAAAACTTCGCGCATGTACAAACAAGTTTTTTAAAATAAACTGAAGACTCGTCCGGCTGCAACAAAGTGTTTAACAATAAGCATTAAACTTTTGTTGAAGCGTTAAAAGCAATTGCTCAGCATTGAGGTATTCTGTTTTTAATATGTTATAACGCAGAGTAATGTGAAGATGCACGTAAAAATTTAATCAATTTTTTTTACAATTTTTGAGATAAGTAACACAAAGTTCAAAGTTAAACTAAAAGGTTTTGAAATTTTATGCAGATATTAAATAAAAGTGTTTTTCAAATAATGCATTGAAGCCTCTGTTAATTTAAACCCATCCCTCACACCGATATATTATAGGAAACGTAGGTTCACATATTTTTCAGATTCTTCCTAACATATTTCTATAGATTTTCGATCTTTGCGACGATATCATAAACAATTATAGCATTTTTTTTAACGGCTTGAAAGAACTTTATAGTTTTAAAAATGTAAAAAAAGAAAAGAGAATCTCTTCCGCGCGAAACACTGGATCCCTCATGGAAACAAACGAAAGAGAAGCATTGTATTATTATATAATGTATTTTTAAAATATACTTTTAATGAATCTATCCACTTAATTGCCACAAAAGATGTGGAATTTAAAGTTAATATTATTATTCCTAAACATGTTACAACACATTTTTTTTATTTACATTTAACATAATTTCTTAATTTGCAATATCAAATTGCCAAATACTTTTCAATCTTTTTCATTTTACTCTCATACTTCTTACTTCTCATTTTACTCCTGATGTTTCACAGATTGATTAACTCTGTTTTTTATTTCTAGAACTATTTGAGCGGTTCTTATCCATTCCCACGCATAGACATCTTGTCGTTACCATGCTTGAAACCGTTTTAGAAAAGTTAAGTATGCATATGATCAACATTTGAAATAGCTTGTAATATGTTTGGAAACTACTCTAGTTTACAAGCAAGAATCAAAGAGAACAAAGAGTCCTCTAGCCTATTATATTTCTATGAGCTATTTTTTTTCCTTCTATTTTCTTATTTTCTCCTCTATCTTGTTCTATTTTCTATATGCTACCACTTTTTAAATTATGTACGAGTTAGAGCTGCGGAATCTAATGGTGCTGCGGAAATGGAGCTGCAGTCAATTTCTTTGTTTGCGTTTGAACATAACCAAATGTTCAAAACATTTTTTTTTCTGCAACAACTCGTTGATTAAATGTATTAAAATCAAAATATTTTCTGGAAATCACGTTAAGGTTAAATATATACATACATACATACATACATACAAGGCCGGCGCGATACGGGGGTGTGACACCCCCCATCAATGATTTTTAGTCGGCAAACTGGACCCTTAGTCGGCAAATCGGACCTTTTTAGACTAGTTAGTCGGCAAATGTCGACCCTTTCGATATAGGTTAGACAGTCGGCAAATGTCGTAATGACAGTCGGCAAATTTTGGAAAACGAGGACCTTTTTTTTTTTTTAGTCGGCAAAAGTTGTAATGGCACCCTCCACGTGACACCTACTCGCGCCGGCCCTGCATACATACATACATACATACTTTTTGACATATTGTTGAGATTGTTTTGGTTTTTAGAGAATGTTAATGTATTAACATTACAAAGTTGAATAACATTTTTTGTACGCTTTCAAGTAAAGGTTTATTCTAAACTGGAAAAAGTCCATTTTAAAAATTTTTTAAGTTTTTTCTCAAGTAAAATATTTGTTGAATAATTTGTTGTCAATTTCCTTTCTTAAGAGAAAAGACATAGTACAAGGTACACAGTAACATAACTCATTTTGAACTTAATATATAGTTTAAAACTAGGATAATAAAACCTCAACTTTGATGTAATATAGAAGATAATGGTTTCTTAAAATGTGTCACAATAAAAATGCTCAATTTCGATATATTAAGCAAAATTGAAATAAATAAGTTTATGAGAAAAAATTTTGTACCCATACGAGTCTAGAGATATAACGCGACGTTAGAATTATCTTGTTCTGCCTTCAATTTTTGAAAAAATTAGGTTATTGATAGTGTTATTTACCTCAGAATAATGTTTTTCAACCGTATTGAAACCTATGTTAAAAGTAAAAAATGTTGGGGAAAAAAACAAGTTGAAAAATGTCTTTTCATGTCGTCTCCTAAAGTTTTTATTTTTTTAACCGTTTTATCTCAAAACTTTAAAACGTTTTATGTCAAAAATGTGGAGATAAAACAAGATAATTTTAACGTCGCGATAAACGAAAAAATAAAAAAAATGAAACTATGTATAATGTAAATACAAATTATAAGAGTTTTCCGTATTGCAGCGTAATTTAATTAGATTTAATAAATTGTTAAAAATTTCACAAGCTGCAATTTACCAATCAAACACTCATCGTCTGATAGCATCGCAATCACACACTCATCGTCTGATAGCATCGCAATCAAACACTCATCGTTTGATAGCATCGCAATCAAACACTCATCGTCTGATAGCATCGCAATCAAACACTCATCATCTGATAGCATCGCAACGTTTAGATACATGAAAAAAAACAGCATGAAAACTAGTTAACGGAGCTAGCTAACAGAGGGAATTTAACTGAAAAAATTAAAGAAGTGGTTAAAAACGGAGACTTAACGGCAGGATTAGAGAACCATTTATCTCCTTTTATTTTGAAACTGGCCGTTTACAAATTTGTTTTTTAACGGTCACATTAGTTTAACTGAGAGAAGTGAATACGGCTGCAGTTCAACAATAATTATTGAACTGCTTGTTAATTTAAAAACAAAACTAATTAATTATTAATTACGTGCAAGTATTGAAAACTCTATAACAATATTGTTTTTTTATGATTTATTAGCAAACTTTGACTGTTTTAAAAAAGTTTATGATTTGGTTAAATTTATATATTATTTAACTTGAAAACTGTTAATAAAATTCCGGCTGGAATTCCGGCCAGAACAAGAATTATACTTATGTTATTTTTTTACTAGCCTGCACCTCAGTATCGTATCTACATAACATATATTTATAACCTATAATATATATGGATGGCCCATTAGAATAGATATCTTGACCTGAGTGTTTATTTATTTCGACTCCATTTTAAAATGTTAAAAGAACTTTTCCGCGTTAATATCTAAAAATAAAAATAAAACTTTTCATATTTTTATTTTTTTAACTTTTTTTCTTATAAATAGTTAGTAATGCGCTTATAACAAGAGGAACTAAGAATTTATTACAAAACCTGGCAAGTATTAATTTTTTTTATTAAGAAAAAATTGCAATAATTCTGAATCAGATACATGAAAAAAGAAAAAAAAAATCAATAAAATGACCTTGCAGGTTTGCAATAATAATAGAATGATTTGACGAAGTTAGGTGATGAGTAGAGAGCAGGTTTTAAAGGTGAGGGCAAGCTTTTAAAGCAAAGTAGAATCAAAGTAAAGTAGAATCAAAAGTGAGGAAAAGCTTTTAAAGGGGTTGCCCAATAAATAAACTTTTTTTTGACCCTGTGAATTTAATTAACCAAACTTTGGTATAAATGGCTGGTCTCAACTTAAAAAAATATTTCAAACACACCAAACCGTTTTTTTGTCTCGATTACCCTATTTTATCGCTAAAATGAGACAAAAAAATGAAATATTTCAAAACACAATATCTGCAGATGTGAAGATAGTTACTACTTCAAATTTTCATCGTAGCTTAAGAACGATAGTAAAATCCATTTGACATTTTTTTTATTGACTCACTTAGTCAAAAGTTATGCCTCTATTAGTAAAAAGAGTGTTTAAAGCATAGTATTTTTTGTATAAATTTTACAAATTAAGAAGTTTTTTACCTCAATAAAGAAAAAGCCTATGATGTATGGATTATATATAATATATGAGTATTTCCTGAAAATTTCAACTTATTTTATCCATTCAATCTTGAGATATCATGTTTTAAAATTTTAAAAATTATGTAAAACCATAAACATGAGAAAATCAAGTTTTTGTCTAAAATAATAAGAAAAAGATGTTAAAAACCACCAGCAGTGTAAGATTCACACTTTTCACTTTCATTCTCTTTATCCATGTACCCTTTTTTGAATGCTCTTAATTTTTTTCTTTGTTTTTAAACGATTGGACTTGATCGCTTTTCCAACACGTTGACAATCTCGTGCAATAGATTTATCAGCAGTCGCCTTTCCATGTAAGCCAAAATGTCCTAAAACTGCATTAACCCCGCCACTCCCATCATTATAATGTAAAATAGCTGAGTTAATTAAACATTCAAATGTTCTTCGTTCAATAAAAACATTCTTGGGGCATCGAGTCCATACAACTGAGTTGAACAATTCATTAGTGTTTTGAGTTTGCCCGTGAACGAATTTGTTCAATAACTTGTCGTCTGATAAACTTACAAAGATCGGTTTTAAAAGGTAATGAATGGACATTGGTAAACTTATGGTGTTTTCGAATGTATTTGTCTTATTAGTCTATTCTAACTGCCATTTAGTCAATCTAACTGCCATTTGCACCAAGAAGTGTCATCACGTGGACACATTTCATGCCGCTGGTTCTCATCGGTAAACGCAGTACAGTGAAACAACACTGAGCCGATTGCTTTTTTCATGGCATAAACATTGTTTAAGTTGTTTCTTATAGCTTTTCCATAATAGGTTTGCATTGAGTTAATTGTTTTTTCAGTCAACTTCCCCTTTCCTGATATGGGATTCTTTGTACCTTTATGTGATTTCACGAGATTTCTAAGACGAGTACCTAAGCGCTTCTGAACATGCCCAATACATTCCAATTTGAGAGGTGTTATACCAAAATCTTTATAGGGATTTGCTGCTATGACTTCTTTATAAGACGAAGAATCTCCATCACCTAAATATTCTTTGTAAATAAGGCTGTTTTTTTCCACAGAACGTTCAAAGATTTTAACAGCATCAGCTCCCTCCATAGCACCAGACGATTTAACATGATTAATATTACATACATGTTTTGCTTTCCATCTATCATAACTTGATGAACCTTTTTGTTTCTCCCACATAAGGCAAACCTTACAGTGTTTAAAAAAAGCTTGTACATCAACTACTTTATCTTCATGAATGGCCTCTTTTCTGCCACGCTCCATCTATTTTTATACGTTGTTGTGTTGGACCATCAGAAGAATCTTGAAGATCCTCTGCAGCTTTTTTCATGCTTTTTAAAGCTGCATCATTGTATGCTTTATATATTTCATTTGAGTTTAGGTTATCAAAAGCGTTTTTGGCTAAACCATACATGTTCATACATTGAGTAAATGTGTTTATACTTGAATGACCTCGACCAATCTCTTGAAAAGCTATCACCGCTCTTGCATTTGCTCCAAATATACTTCTTCCAGTGGTATTACTGCTATTCTTTACAAATACTTTAGATGAATAAACAGTATGACTCCATTGGTCACAAGATGTACATTTTAACTCGAGATTATGTAAAAATCCCATTCTTTTTTGTGTGTTATCAAATAAATTAATGGTTAGCATATGACATTTTGGACAAGCTATCTCTAAAAATAGATTTTTGAGAACAGAGAAGTTAATAAGGATATTATAGTCATACAGATCTTGACACTCCAAATGATTCTGAATACCCATATTTAGTATTTTTGCACAAGAACACATGCTTATTGTATTTAAACTGTTTGTTTTGACCAATTTATCATTTTTTTGCTGTTTTCTAAAATGATTGAGAGGAGCCTTTCTTATAAGTTTTCTTGCATTATTTTGCTTATTTCCTTTTGCCATTATTATATATTTAAGTCTAAAAGAGTAAGAACCAATAAAAATACAAATAAGTCATTAAACCACGATAAACATTCATAAAAATCTAATAAATAGTATATTTTATGTTGCATCACGTTGGTCAAAACGAAAAATATACATTCAAATAATGACTTTTAGTTTATTAAAATCCATAAAACCTAAGATACACCAAACGACATTACTTTGATACGGAGTTGATAATTGTTTGAAGAGGTAAACCCAAGATATTTGACACTTCAATTGAAGTCACAAATGAAGAAAAATGTCAAAAACAAAAATGTGAAGAAAAACTTTATATACCACTATATAAAAATTAGAAATAAAAGACTTTATATAAATTATACATATGAGATTCATATACCATTTTAAAGAGGATAAAATTCTGCTCATAAAAAACATTAAAAAAAAAAAAAATTCAAAAAAAATCAAGATTTATTTCTTGGGCAACCACCTTAAAGTAAAGTAGAATCAAATAGCGCGTTTCTAGATATTGGGAGAATGGTGGTCAAGAACGTTATTTTAATTAATTTTATTGTGTGATATAATTTTTATCTTATTTTAAATTTTTTATGTACTCCCTCAGTTCCCGTTTGCGTTCAACGTAAAGAATTATTGAAAATAAATTATGTTTATAATTATTTATTTTTATTTTTTATATAAAACTTAAACGTTTTTCTATTATGTACAAACATTATAAACATGTAAAACATTTTTATGCCAATAATATAGTTTACTACTGCACAGCATTCTTTTTTAAAAAAGTTGTTTTTTTAATGAAAAATAATTTTCTATAATTCTTTACGTTGAATGCTAATCGGTTTTTCGGAGGGGGTATTATATCTGAAATACCAGATTTATTTGTTTCTTAGGTTCTAAATACTAACTTATATATTTTATACTAAAACAGTTCTAGTCTTATGATGAAAAACCAAACCAAAAATATCAGTGTTTTTTTTATTAGTATTAGAAGAACGAACATAATTTTAAAAAATTTTTAGAATGCAATTATCGAAGTGAGAAATATCGAAAAATATCGACGTGATATCAACGAAAAAAGTATCGGAAACACATTTTGATATCGGTAACAAATTTTTATATAAAGTGATATCAATCAAAAAAGTGTCGGTAACACATTTCGATAAAATACCAATTTAAAACACCAATACCAATTTTTTGCTTATATTTTGATCGCTTTTTGCAGATATAAATTATGTGTGCAAAAAAATAGCGAATAAAATATAAAAAAATAGTAATAAAAGCAATGTGTATTTTAGTTTTCTATTTAATTCCATATATAATTGTTATGTTTAGTCTTTTTATTTATTAATATTAATTTAATCCCACATGCATTTAATAAACATAATTTTTTTTATTTATTTTACACAAACACAATTTTAAAAAGTTGAAGCAAAAATACAGGAAATCATTATCTAATTTAATATCGTTTTGTACTGTTAAGTTTTCTATTTTAATGATAGATGAGTTCTAATTAAACACGAGTTTTAATTAAGCAATATATATAATACAGAAGCGTCGCCTACTACTTTGTTGTTTTCAAAGTTAATTATTTTATTTTCAAGAAATATTTTTCGTCCTTCCACTTTTACAACTTTGCACTCGAACAAAAAAGTTGATCCAACTGCCATAGGACTAAAAAAAAAAAGACATAAATTTATATATATATATATATATATATATATATATATATATATATATATATATATATATATATATATATATATATATATATATATATATATATATATATATATATATATATATATATATATATATATATATATATATATATATATATATATACTTAGTGATTTTGTATTAGATAGAACACATTTAGGGGGTGAGAGCAGATTATTTTTAAAAAAGTTGTTTTTTGGGACACCCTAATATATATATATATATATATATATATATATATATATATATATATATATATATATATATATATATATATATATATATATAAATATATATGCAATACTATTGAATTTGACAGTAGGTATTCCAACCATTAGTGATATACTGTATAGAAGCAAAAAGGTATATTCAAAGATTTGTTTTACTGTTTATATCAAACAACAATACACACAATGTAACCTTAGTATAAAAAACTCAACTAATTCTACCCACTAAGCTAAACTTAAAATAGATTAATTTACTTTTGTTTAGAGCAATACAAAAATTGTCAAAATCTTTACAACCTATGCTAAATAGAGAGCCGTTTTGGTTTTAATATGCTTTCATCAGTTTATAGATGTTGAGGAAAACAGAGCTGGGCCAAAGAGCTGTAGCATAGACACTAAATGCAGAAAAAATGCTTAAACTTAAAAAACAACAAGATGTATTTCAGCCTGATGCTATCACAGAGGTTATATAGTGGTTGTCTATAATAGTTACTGATTCGACATCATAATTGAAATTAACCAAAAAGGTGACACAGAACTTCCTCCACTCAAATAGTCCATCTGCATTGACAACTACTGTTTTATTATCAACACAAATATATTGAAACAATGTTATATTGAGACAACTACCTTTTATATGAAAACAATTAATTGTTCCACAAACTCTTATTATTTGTTCAACTCTCTCTAATTATAGTAGACACTTAATCTTAAGCTTAATTAGAAGAACCAAATTGGAAAGAGTATTGTGAATTACTATAACTGCGGTCAAAATAACTTTTATCTTCAATACCTTAAAAATTATTTATCAAGCAACATCCTGTAACTTTTTGCATTAAAATTAGTTATTTTTTATTGCATTTGTAAATATTTTTATTGCATTTTTAAATATTCACATAAAGGAATCTGTGCAGACCTTAACCCACAATAAAATATACAAATATATTTATATAAAAAAATAGTATTAGTGAATGAGAATTAATGAAAAAAAAATTTATAAAACACGAGAAAACCTTTTGTAATTGATATTAAGGCTAGCAGTTGCATATTTGAGACCAAAACATTTTTCAATCAAAACAGCAGCAATTGAATCATGATGTGTAGCAATTGCACCTCCGTGTACTATTCTGATAAAAAAGTTTATTGTTCTTGATCAGTTAAAATAATCTTTTTAAATAATTTTAAAACTAATGCTTGAATATAAACAACATAGAATAATGAAGACCATAATGACAATAATAATAATAATAATAATAATAATAATAATAATAATAATAATAATAATAATAATAATAATAATAATAGCAATAATAATAATAATAATAATAGCAATAATAATAATAGTAATAATAACAATAGTAATAATAGTAACAACAACTATGATAAAAAAAGATTCAGATATTTTAATAATTTAAAAATTTTTTAAACTTTTAACATACTTTTTTCCATTGTTTGACCAAGGTCCATATGTAACAGACCATTTGGCAGCTTGATCTTTGACAGAAAAGTACAAGGAACCATAAGAAACTTTTTCATTTTCAAAGTAATTTGGATTTCTTTTGTCTCCAGTTTCTTCCCTTAACAAATACTTTTCCCAATTATTTTTTTTGGCATACTTCTCTAATAAAGAATTACTATCTTTAGCTTTTTCTGACCAATCAGAAATTTTTAATTTCTCCATATTGTTGATAATGCAATTTTTACAAGAGAAACCATAAAAACAAGAATTCTATTATTTTATCAACAAAAAAAACAACAAAAAAAAACAATAAGATTAATAGTTGACTGTTGATGTACTGGTTGGTCCTAACTAAAAAAAAATATTGGTAAACAGGTAAACACTTCCTAGTAAAAAAATATACTTTTAACCAATGATTATAAAATTGAAAAATCAAAATTATAATATTAATAAAAAAAGACATTAAAAATGATAGTATAAATAAATAAAATTTAAAATTGACTTAATATGAGTTTAACTGTTACAACAAATAACCACACCTACCATCATCGCATGTTATCTAACCATACCTACCAGTACTGCATTTAATCTAATCACACTTACCATCATTGAGTGCAGTCTAATCAGACCTAATATCATTGCATGTAATCTAATAATCAAACTTTAAAATTAGAAATAATATACGGTAATCAACTGCCAAAGGGCTGGGAGGAGGCCTTGTTTACTTTAATAGAATAAAGAATATTTCCAAAAAGAAAAAGATTTTAAATTTAGCACTTTCATTTTTAAATTCATATTTATTGTTCTTATAAAACTTATTTTTCTTTACTCTTTTTAAAATTTCAATGTAATTTTTAAAATACTCTTGAGTCCTTAATACAAGGCGAGGGAAGGGGGTATTAATAAAAGAGGGGAGGGGGATGAATTTTAATAAGCAAGGAAAGGGGTGGGGGGGTAATAAAAGGGAGAGGGGGATCAGAAATTTTTCATGTTACAATATATGTATTTTTTATAAAAAATTTCAGTTTATAAATCCTAACTAAAGTTTTTTTACAAAACACGCATAAAACTATTTAATTCTAATGCGACTTGGAGTTAAATGTGCTCGTTTCTCTGCGCAGCGGCCTTGTTCGTCAAGGTTTGTGTTTCGGAGTTATAGAGTTGAGAGAGGGTTATAACCACAAATAAGTAGCCTCCTCGTCTGTAGTGGCCTCCTCGGCCTTGAGGAGGTGAATTAAAATAAAAAATAAAAAAAAATGTGCATTTTCTAACAGCTGTTTTATCATAATTTTAATAGGATGCTAGTTTAAATTTTATAATTAGGTGAGAAATAAACCAAAAGCTCATTTTTGACAAAATCGAGATTTACGATTTTTAAAGTCTGTTTACACTGAAAGTTTTTGTTTTTATTGGCGACTGAAATAATTATTATAATAAATATTAATTTTTTATTTTAGTTTTGAGATAAAGTTTTTGTTGATAAAAAGTAAAAATTAATAAATGGGGGGAGGGGGGAAGGGGTGGATACCTTAATCAGCTTAGGGTGGGTGGGAAAATTTTCCAAAAAATTTATAAATGCCTTACTCCCCTTCCCTTTTTTTTTATTAAGGACTCGTGAGAACTTGAAAATTGCTTAGTATTATTGGATTTTATGTAATAATTACAATAAATGGCAGCTTAGTAGTGGATTGAAATTTTTCATAAATGAGTGGTGTTCATGAAAATTGACTCCTTTTAACAATCATTTGATATTAAACAACAAGAAGCTTTTAACCATTATAAAAAATATATATATATTTTATTATTCATCCAGTATTAAACAAAAATTAAACGAGAAGCTTTTTTTTTTGATTGATTCTACATGCAACTTGAAAAACGTTTTAACAATTTTGAATGTCATGAGAGCTATTAGCTAATCAATTACAAGTTGTAATTTCATCTACTGATTTAAAATATACAAATGCAGATTTTAATGACATTTTACAAGTTTTTCAGTATGAAAAACTATTTAAAAGTTGTCCATCACTTACCCAAACTATGCTTTCAGCCTACAAATCTCCAAAGAACATCAGCAAAGTTATGCATGAAAAAAAATCATGAAAAAACTGCATGTACCCTAAAGTTTTAATACAAAAGTAAAAAAATTACAAAGTACTACATGGAATACAACTAATAGTTCAATAAAAAGACTTTTTGAAATTCAAATTTGAAAACTCTAGCTATTGATAAAAAATTGAATATTTTAAAAATTTTTGTCGACTTTCTTAATCAACTCAATTGCCTTAAAGATCCTAATAGAGGCTTATCTTATCTTACTAATTTAGCTTTTATACAAATGCGTAAGAAGTTTGTAGAAAGTGAGCCTATTTATCCATAAAGTATGTTATACATTGTATCCTTTTAGAAAAACTTCAAACCAATCCTATTGAATAACTGTTAGGTCATTATAGGCAACTGTTTGGTGGAATAATATAATGATCAAACAGATTGTTGTTGCCTTACTAAACATTAAAGTGAAAAAAGTTTTAAATGCAGAGAAAAAAATTAGAATTGAATATCTTTGCAAATATTCAGGAATTTTGAGATAAAATTTTATAAAATATAAAATTTTTTATAAGTTTACATGCTTATCATTTGAATGAAAATGAGATCCTGATGTTCCAAAATCTAAAATTCAACTTTAATATTAATCACTTTTAGAAGATGATACTGTAAATTTAATTTATACTTTTGTAAGTTATTCATAGTTGTCAAGTTATAAAAATGGGTTTGAGGGAGACTTTTTGATATTACCCGACCATGATGTATATGCCTACTATATATCTTTACCAAAAAAAATCTTCAAAATTTGAAGGACTAAAAATATATCTAAATATTATCATTTGTTTACATCTTCATAAATTAGCTTTTTTGAAGTTTGAAGTGCTCCTAGGGCGTCCGATGTATATAATAATTTCAATTTTTGTTTCAATTGATCTATTCTTCATAGCATAATATACAATGGCATAAAGGAATTCTTAATAGAACATAAATCAGATAAGCAAAAACAAAAACGGGGTGGGAGGGGACAGAGGAGGGGGAGATAATATATTCTTCAAAATTCGGGAGACTTCCACCAAGTGACTTGACAGGTATGGTTATTGTTTCTGCTGGTTGCTAATGTTGCAATGTTTTTGTTGCAATAATACATTTTTTGGTAATAAATTTTAAACATATTTAAACAAAAGATTTGTAATGATATGATTAGACTGATTTATGTTTTACACAGTGCTCACAAGCATATAGCTATTTTCAAAATTGATCATTTGAGAGATTAGATCTTTGAAAAGTAACTTTGGAATAACATCAAAACAAGCCCAATCCTCGTAGAAAGGTGTTGAAAAGGAAATGGATTGTGTGCCTAAAATTAAATGCATAAAATGGATTATGTTTGTGGATTAATGATCGAAGCATTTTTAAATACTGTTCATGCGATGAAAAAATGTTCAAAATGTTGCATCTATCTTCAGATAAAAAAATTCAAAAAGTTAATTTTTGAATTTTAATCTTCCTTCAGTAAGTTGTTTTGCATTTGAAACTTTTTTGCTTTTAATTTTAAAAAAAATGTGAGTAAAGAAGTTCTTGTAATTAACACAAAAAAATTATATAATAAAGATTTTTCGATTTGATTTTAATCTCTAGATAAAAGGTAAGCAGAAGATAGTATGCGTCAGGATGTGTTTTTTAATTATGCGAATTTTATTTGTTACGTCATGGTAATGTTAAATTACGTTGCGTATTTGTTTTCATTCGTTATTTCCACGTGCTTTATGTTTTATAAACTTTAAATGGATGAAAATAAAGATAATAGTAAGTTTACATGTTATAATAATTATATCATTCGAAAATAATATTTTTATTAAATAGATTTAAAAATATAAAAGATTATAAATTTTTTGATTCGGGATAACATTGGTTAAGGTAATAAAATTATTATAATGAATCAATTTTTACTACATTTGTGCCAGTGACTAAAAAATATAGCTATCGTAGTTTTTTTTGTAAATTACATTCTTTTATACTATTTTCTTTTTCATATGAAAACGAAATTAATATAAGAGAATGTAATTTACAAAAAAAACTACGATGATCATCTGAGAATTTCAGAAAAAAATGGAGCACTCTATTCAAAATGATGTGCAATAGTTGTGTAAAAAAATTTTTTTTTCCCCCCCAGTCAGTTATTATATAATACAAGTTATAAAATAAACTTTCATCTTAGCTATTTTAGCTGCAGGACAAATAATGGGTATAGTAAAGTTCAAATTATTTTCAATTTTAATACCAGGTATCTTGTTCAGGTACTTGCAAGTACCTGACCAAGATACTTGGACAAAAAAAAATTTATATATTAACTTATATATTAAAAAATTTATATATTAAAATTTATATATTATTATATATTATTATATAATATATATTATATATTAAAAGACAAAAAAAAAATTATATACTAACATATTTTTTGGAAAATGTTGGAAAAGGAAAAAGTATAACTTTGTGAATTTACCAAGCTTGGTAAATTCACAAAGTTATACTTTTTCCTTTTCCAACATTTTCCAAAAAATATGTTAGTATATAAATTTTTCAGTGATACTCAAGTAATTTTAATAAAAGTTTGTAAAATGTATGCCCATTTATTTACTAGCATTTAGTTTTAGACCATATTTACTCAATGCTTTTAAATTGTAAAGCCTCAATGCTTTTAAATTGTAAAGTTATTTATATTGTTGTTTATAGCTAACAGAAAAAGCCATACATTTATTTATAATGATGAAAATGAGGCCTTTTGTTTCATAAAACAACATGAATTAGAGTACACAGTTCGCTATGCAACATGGTTCACACCCAAAGGGTTTGGTAATACAGGTTAGAAACTTTTTTTAATTTACTTTATATCAATTATAAATGCCTAAGTTAAAGAACTTTGAATTTATTTACTAAATTTATGTTATAGATAGAGTAAATACATTAACCAATTAATTTACCAGGACATTCTTTAACTCCAAATTTCCTTAAAAGTGAAAATAATTTGATTTATCAAAAGTTTTCTTTTCAATACAGGTTTTCTTTTCAAAAGTTTTCTTTTCAATACAGGAAAGATTAATATAAAGCATTATTAAGCAAAAAATGTACTGATAAAGAAACTTTGTATGCAACAAATGAATGTGACATTAGTTTACCAATTTCTAAAAATCTAGACTTGTCTGAAGAAATAAATGCCAAAAAAATGTGTAATATTGATTTAAAAAAAGAAAGTGTTTCTGCTGGGGACTGTAGGGAGCTCATTAGTTTAATTAAAAATCAATTGTATGAGGTCAACAAAAGTACCAGTCTTTTTACAGAAGTATATAGCCTGTTACTGAAAGCGTCAAAGCTTCTACAAGAAAATACTACCCACGAGAGTGGCATACCTATTATTCAGCAACAACATGTTAAAAACTTTAAACTTTTAGACTTGCCAAAAAAGCGTAAAAAAAAAACATATTCTAATCGCTGTGGATTGGCTAAGGATAAAAAAATAGCTGATGGCAAAATAAATGTTACAACATTTACATGCCATGACGTCAATGTGGAGGAGGAAGTAGTTATTGAAGACATGGAGCTAGATGGCCTTACTTCATTTACTTCTAAAGGCGAGTTTCCACTCATCCGTTTTTTTAAGGGAACGGGAAAGGGACGGGAAAAATAATCAAGTGGGCATGCGTAGTATAAGCTTTAATATGTCCGAAGGAAAACTACGCATGCTCACGTGATTATTTTTCCCTTTCCTATCCCGTTCCCGTGAAAAAACGGATGAGTGGAAACTCACCTTAATGTACCCGATGTGTATGTACAGTCAGAAGGAGAATTTGAGAAAATGTTAGTAATAAAAGACAACATTGAAGATTCCTCCTATATTTTAAATTCTTGTTTTGATATTCCCAGACATGACTTTGAAGCGATTGGTAGCAATGAAATGCTAACTGACAACATCATTAATGCTGCACAAAAAATGTTGCTACGTCAGTACCCTAATGCTAAAGGTTTACAAGACCCCATTCTTGGCCAAAACCTCAGTTTTAGCATTCTAAAAGATGAAGAGTTTGTTCAAGTGTTGCATGATGGGTGTGCTCATTGGTTTGCAATTAGCACAGTAAACTGTTTATCAGGGCATGTTTTTGTAATGGATAGTTATTTTAGAGGTAAACTTAGCCATGCCACAATGAGACAAATATGTTCAATAATTCGTTGCCCATTAAGTAAAATTAAAGTTACAGTTTTACCAGTTCAACAACAGACAAATGGTATTGACTGTGGCATCTATGCAATTGCTTTTGTACAATACCTGTTACATTTTAAGGACTATCCCACAAATGTGAATTTTGATCAAACAAAACTGAGAACCGAGCTGCTTAACTCTTTTAAAAACAACTATTTAAGTTTGTTTTCAACCACAACAAACAATGTCAGACGAAATGTTGAAAAGGAGATATATTTAGATTTATACTGCACTTGCAGAATGATTTGGGTCCCATCAGATAAAAATATATTTGGAAGGTCAATATTTTATTATCTTTTATAATAATAGTTATAAATAATTCTATTACATAATAGTGAATAAAATTTAAATGTATAGAATGTAAATGTAAAAAAGTATAAATTAGATCAAATGAAATCTAATTTTGTACTATAACAAATCTTTAAATGATGTGTTTTATTTATAGGCACATGGTAGAATGTTCAGGATGTTTGCAGTGGTTTCACAGAATGTGCGAAAGAATTTCAGATAATGTTCTTAATGATGACAATATCAACTGGCATTGTTCAACTTGTGATAAAATAAAATAATGATACTTCAGTGTTACTTTTTTTTATATATAATTTTCATAGTTTGGTTCTGTTATCATATATATATATATATATATATATATATATATATATATATATATATATATATATATATATATATATATATATATATATATATATATATATATATATACATATATATATATAAATATATATATATATATATATGTATATATATATATATATATATATATATATATATATATATATATATATATATCCTTATAGTGTAGTCGAAAGAGTCGTTTAATGTAAAAAAAGTCTCTTTCGACTACAATTTTAATTACCTCGTCTCTTAAGCTGTATTTGATTGTCGTCGAAATGTCAAAGCAATTAAATTAATGTGGAAGTACATTAAATTTTATTGTTTTTTAAAAATTTTTAAAAAACCGCAATAATAACGACTAGAAAGTTTTTTTTAATTTGTAGTGTTTTTGTTTTTGTTTTATTAAAAAACATTTTTAACATGCGTAAATGTTGCTACATCGACTATCTTATAGCCTGACTCGCAACGGAGTGCTGCTACATCGACTGACAAATAGCTTGACTCGCAACGGAGTGCTGCAACATCGACTGACAAATAGCCTGACTCGCAAGGGAGTGCTGCTACATCGACTGAGGGTTTGGTTTGGGCAGGCAGTCTATCATTTTAAAAAAAAAAAAAAATTAAGTTTTTTAACTTTTTCTGGTCTGGTTTATTAACGCGCTCTTTAAAACTACAGTTTATGGGAAACTCTTTTCAACTACCATGCAAGAGTATATATATATATATATATATATATATATATATATATATATATATATATATATATATATATATATATATATATATATATATATATATATATACAAAAAAAAACTCAAAAACAAGGTGGAACAGTTGCAAAGAAATATTGAGTGAAGCTAAACAACTTTTCGATTTGTTGGCTAAAAATATATATATATATATATATATATATATATATATATATATATATATATATATATATATATATATATATATATATATATATATATATATATATATATATATATATATATATAAATTACCAAATTATCTGTTAAGCACAATTGAATAATTATTTGCATAAAGTTAACCTTAAAAATGTTTGTTATACATGTTTTGAACTACCTAGTTCATCATTAGCAGGGTTAAAGTAAGGGGGAACGCAGGGGAACGTCATTCTTCTTTAGCCAACAAATCGAAAAGTTGTTTAGCTTCACTCAATATTTCTTTGCAACTGTTCCACCTTGTTTTTGAGTTTTTTTTTGTTTTTTTACAATAAGATTGTCTATGAATTATGCAACGCCTTAATTATCTCTTTAAAGCTTTGCGCTTTTTAAGTTCAATTTTTATTGAACTTAAAGAGCCATTTTAGTTATTACTAAAATTTATGACTAATATTGAGTAATATTAGTCATTACACGAGATCTAGAAATACAGCAAATGTGCACCTAACAAAAATACACCTACAGCAAAAATTTGATAGAATGATTTCACACCCGAACAAGCAATTTTGCATCCCTTTGAACAATTTTAGAAACTGCTAATTCAATGGTCTCTTCCAATGGAATATTAGTGAATAAACTTTCAACATCAAAAGAAATTAAAAAATTATTACTGAAATTGTGTAATTTTAATTCTTCAAGAAAAGTAAAGGAATCTTTTGATGATCAATACACAGTTTGACTAAAGTACTTAAGAATGTAGGTAGTTTATAATAATAGGCATAATGAATAAATAATAGGTCTGAAATTAGAAGTTTGTTCAAACTTTTTACGTGCTGGTTGTGATAGTCTTGGATAGATTTGCTTATATTGCTTTTTAGTAAAAAAAGTTGTTTATGTAATTTCTGTAGCAAACATTATAATTGCCCTTGTCTTAGTAGATTAGGATCTTTGTCTTGTAACTATTTTTTTTTTAAGTATTCTTAAACAAAATAAAAATATAGTTATTTTAACACATGATAAAGGTAACTGAGATAAAGGTAAATGTTTATAAATTAGTTTAAATAAAATATACTTATATAAACTTTTATTACATTTTTAGGATATAATGTTAGCTAATTCCTTTTGATGCTGAGTTTCAGTCATGATTTTGATAGCTAAACATCAAAACCTGATGTTTAACTTTTGAATCATAAACTGAGAGTCAATACAATATAAAATTGCAAATCATGAAAATGTCAACTGAGAAAAAGAAAGACCTAATAAAAAATCGGAAATTAGAAGGTATATTTTGTTATTTTTTATTTGTTTGTTAACTAATATGTTGTAGAGAATGTTTGCGATACTTTTTTTTCCATTGGGTATTAATTTAATATTTGTAGATAAATACAAATAAGTTGCTAATGCTCTTATTATTGTTAATAAGTTATTGGTAATTAAATTAATAAATTAATACAACAGTAATACAACATTTTCAAAATCAGAAATTAATAAATTAACATTCTGAATATAATGCTCATCACCATCTTCAAAAGAAAAGTTTAGGTTATTAGTTATGAAATATATATACAAGATATTGTTGCTAAATTGATGTCATTCTGTTTTAACGTTCTAAATAATATAGTTGTAACAGTTTTTATATATATTTTACATGGCTACTAGAATTCATTTCTACCTTACGTTATACTAGGTTAAATGACTTTCAACTACTTTTGTATTAATCACTCATACTAATAATACATGGCACTACAGTATGCATACACACATACTCTCCATTGATACATCACTTGCAAAGCCATAAAAAAATAAAAACAGTTCACAACTCTAACCAACCCTTGTTAAACTGTAACAAATCACCACACTTACTATCACTCATGTCCAAAAACCACTTACAATTGAATGCAAGTTGTACTGAAGTCCATTAAGTGTCCTCTGATCTCAGGGTCAATGCAAAGGTCTGTGGCAATTGTCTTGATGGGATACCCTGAGAAAAGTCCATTTGGAATAACACAAAGGGATACTCTAACAAAAAGATACCCTGGTAAACACCTAGAGTGGAACCACTTGTGGGATGATAAAAGCTGGTCTTCTTGTGTTCATAATGCACCATAAGACGGTAACACATACCATATCCATGAAAAACATATTTATAATGTTTATAACGCTCATAATATAGACCACATGGTTACATACTTATGAAAATAATATGGACATTTTCAAATAACTCTCACACTTTCTACACATCACATCTACGTTCAACACTAACAACTGTTCATTAGCATAAAAATTAATGACTCTTACTTTCCTCAACTATTGTTTATTGTTTATATTTACTACTTTTTACTAAGATTAGTTTATAGTATTTTTCTCAGGAAAAATACTAAAAATCACTCAGGAAGAATATTTATCTAATAAAAAATTAAACTGATTATTTTTGAATTTGAAAAGTGTAAGGAGAAGCTTTGAGATTAAAGTTGTAATAATAAAGGTTTTATTATAGTGCCAATTTTTATTTGATGTTAAAATAACTTATACAATGAAAATTAAAAAGTAACTTAACTATGAATATAAAAATAACAAAATAAAAACTTACTTCTAATGTACATTGCTTTCTTTTATTGAATTTGTGAAATCTTTAACTTGGTTTTTAAATCAACTACCATTTTTAGTTTATGATGTGAAAGTTAAACATTTGTTTTCAATGTTTAACTATCAAAATCATTTCTAACAGTATGAAGTTGAAGCATATAAGATCAACCCAAAAGAAGTAAAACAATATTAAACATTTTACAGTATTTTCTAAAATAGTTTAATTTAAAGTAATAAAAACTATTTCACTAAAAAAGTGAATAACTTTATTAAGTTATACTTTTAAAATGTACTCTTAGGTGCTTAATAAATAGAAGGGAATATTTATTAATATTTGGCAACTTTTTCCACATAACCCATGTTTATAAAGACCCCCTTACCCTTCATTTATTAATTTTTACTTGTTATCAACAAAAAACAACATCTTAAAACTTTATAAAATTGTTATTTATATTTATTAAAGTTAGATTTTTATTACTAAAAATAATTAAATTTTAAAATCAAATAAACATATACTGCTATGTAGTTGCTATGTGCTATAAGAATTGAATTATTTTTATTTAGGGATGACCCTTTGATTGGTAATGAAGTGTTGTGAAATGGAGTTCAAACAAATGGAAAAATTAGATTTGGCAACAAAAAAATGGCATCATTTGTTTTTACCATTTGTTTCTAATTTAGGTTATGTCATAATTTTGTAATAATTTATTTAATAAAGTATTTTTAAAAACTCAGTTTTAACAAATGTAAATACTGGCTACCATTATAAATTACCCTTAAATAACAAAATTTTCTAAACTACATACAAAAGTAATTTAAAAAGTTAACGCTTAGCAAAGTCAAGTTATGATAAAAATAGATAACATTAGGCATGTTTAATCAATGTCAATAAATTGTTTTTCTAGAAGCAAACTTAGCTCATAGTTTGTAAATCTTGATTATGTTTTGAAATATTATTTTCTAAGCCAAGTTGGAACATTATAATTGACTTTCAATTAAATAGTGCAATTTTTTAATCAATCTTAATGAAATATATTTTATTAGGTTTAAATAATTCTGTCTTTCGTGTTGTTGATTGCCTCTTTTTGACAAAAAAATAAATTTTTTGTTACTCACCAGTATACATAGTTTAGTACATAGTGATAGTGGGTTGTAACCACAACTAATGTAGTGACTTTCATAGTTTTGGGGAAGTAAATTCAAATTTAATAAAAAAAAAAAAATTAACAAAAAATAGTTGAGCAAATATATATTGAAAGCTTTCTTTGCATTTATAATTTGCAATTAGAGAATTTTTAGGCATTTAGTTTAGGACACCACAGATGGTAGCCAAAATTTTTCATTATGATTAATAATTCTGTTCTAAATATATACCACGCAACCTTTGAATCATTTCTTAGATATCAATCAATATACTTCTGAAATAGTTGATAGATGGTTACATTTCAAAGTTGTTTACAAATTGTAATACTACTAATATTAAGTAAACACCTAAGGAAAATGATTAAAATAATTATGTTTGTAAAAAAAAGTAATATTTATAATAATAAACATAAAAATCACAACATGAAAAAATAATAATAAACATTACTACTAATAATAATGATTATATTAATAATAATAAAAATAATAATGATAAAAACAATGATAAGTTGCTTTTATAAACAAAATAGAAAATAAAGATATTGTTTTTATAAATACAATAGAAAAATTCTAACACATTATTTTTTGAGACTTAATAAGCCTGCAAGCCAAGGCTTTTCCACAATAGATTTTTTAAGATATATTTGACTCTATAATTTCTATACAAAACAATCAAATTATGTTTATAACATACAATATATGTTGTAAACATAATTTGATTGTATATGATATATACTATAACTTGTTATATATGATATATACCATGCAGATACCATGACATGGCCAACTTATAAGTTAGCAACTTATTTTTTTGTTTAATTTTTTTTTTGTAAATTAATTTTTTTACAACAAATAATAAATGTAATAATAATATAAGAAATAATAACTTATAAATAAAGGGGGAATCCACAAAGTTCTCTAAGCAGTATCTTTCTAACAAAAAAAATAACGAGGGAATGAATAAGACTTATTCATTCCCTCTTAGACTTATTCATTCCCTCTGAATTGCTAAAATAATTATTGCTTATATTAATATTACTATAACTATTTGTTGTAAAAAAAATAAATCCATTGAAATAATAAATACATTTAGTATAACAATGTATATAACACCTTTAGTTTAATAATAAGTTACTGATTAATAAAAATGGTGACACTTATAAATAAATTTAATCAGTGATTAATATTTTTTAAATTTTATAATGTTTTGTTAAGCTTTAACTTTATATAAGTATATGCACTGTTAGTTATTTCCTTGAATATAGTGCTTTTCATAATTTATTTGGTTTGATTTAATTCGGCTGTTTGTTTATTATTTGCGCCTTGACTATCCAAAAATTCACGCAACGTTAACCGACGTAATTAATAAAGTTCGCATAATTAAAAAACACATCCTGAGGCATACTATCTTCTGCTTACCTAGATAAAAAGGTTAGTTTCATTTTGTTTGCTAATGTGAATTTTTTAAAGCTGATACTAATCCGCGGAAAAAAATTACGCGGAAAGTTTTGTCATTTTTGTTGTTAAATTCGGTGTTAAACCCGCTGGTCAGAGTTGTTAGTGCTTGGCCTTGGCCTTGTCCTCGACCTTGCCTTAAGGCCATAAATTTTGGCCTTGGTCTTGGTCTTGGCCTTGAAACTGTTGGTATTGGCTTTGAAACTTTTGGTCTTGCCCTTGAAAATTTTGGCTTTGGCCTTCAAAAACAAATACATAAAATTAAAGAATTGAAAATTTTCATTCATTATTTTTATGTATTTTGATTTTTGGTTTTCATGTATATCTACAGGTATATTTTCTTATTAGCTTTGTTGAATTCTGCGCAAAACCGCAAAATTCAAAAAAAACAATGTCACAGCACTTGCTTCCTACAGTTTTGGTAGTAATTAGCTTTAACGTAAGGCAAAAGTCTTTAGTCTTGAAAATGTTTGCGTAGCCCTTTGCCTTAAAACCTTTATTCTTGCCCTTGACCTTATAACTCTTGGCCTTGGCCTTGTTCTTAACCTTACAACTTATGACCATGGCCTTGTAATTTGTGGCCTTGACCTTGCTACTTTTGGCCTTGTTAACAACTGTGCCAAAATAGTCCTAAAAATATGATGACCCAACCCGACCAATACATTTTTACGTTTTTCATGTTTGTTTTATTGTAAAATGCGTAGACGACTTATTACAAGAATAATATAGGTCGCGCTGGATTGCCATACTTTTCAAGGCTTTTTTTATTCTATAAAATTAAAAAGGGCATCGTATTGAGTTAAGAAAGCTGTTAAAAATAGTTATTTTAGCTGTAATGAGTCGTTTGAGCATTTTTTTAAAACATGAAAAATGTAAAAACATAAAGGCTACGTCGGCTCATACTTTTCTTTGATTTTGGCTTTGAATGTTGCATAGAATATGGTCAAAATTTTTCTCACCTTACAGTTGACTTTAGACATGGAACGAGGCTATACTTAATACCAGATAAAGATATTATTTTTTTTGAATAGAGTTCAATTTTAGTTCGAGATAACACAATAAATATTGGAAAATTGAGAAAGGATGCTCAATATTATGCTCTCCCATCAAATTTTGACCCCCAATTTGAACGGTTCCCAAAATATCGCATTCCAGATAGTGATCAAAATAAACGTCTGAGTTTATTTTGTTTACTATCTGAGTTGATTAACAAACCAAGTATATGTAAGGATATAACCACGTATGTAAGGATTTGGTTATAACCTCTTAAAAATGCACTAAATTATATCCTCCAGGCTGGAGATGTAAAATTGAGTTATGTAATTTATTACACTATGACATTGAAAACTCTGTTATTGTTATCAATAAAGATTTTAGCTTTAAATTAAAGTAAAAGAGCACATTTTCTACTCACTTATTTAAGCAGCCTCGCGTTCCTAAGGATTGATACCAATGCAAACCATGACCATATAACAAGACATAAGCCCAGAGGGGATTGGCAAATTATAACAGTTAATCAGGTAATACTTTACTTGATCGTTCCCTACAAATAATGATATCAGCTGTATTAATTTACTGTATTTTTCTGTAAATTAATAATTTATCTGTTGTGCTAGTTCTTGCTGTGGTTTAAATACATTGATGTTATACTGCTACAATTATTTAGCTCAGGCTTTAATTCGTTTTCATATTTATTATAGGGGAGAGTTGGGTAGCCCCGGACACTTAAGGAAATTATAGATTGTACACATGTGCTAACAGAAAACAAAGTGTCAAAAGACTTTTTTTAAAAGTTCAAATATTTATCTACTGGTTTAGAAAAAAAAAATCTTAACAATATACAAAACATAAAAGAAAAAATGTTAGAAAAAAGGTATGTTTCAAAATTGAAGGGTAGCCCCGGACTTTTAGTTTAACCTTGATTTTACCTCTTTTTTACAAGTGTGAAACAAATGTAATATATAATAATTTAGCATTGGACTGTTCTCGACACAGTTTTAAAAAAATTGCCTTTAAAAATTGCCTCTGATATGTAAGGAATGAGAATGAAAATTTCATCATTTAAAAATATAAGCATAAGCTTTTTTATAATGAAAATAAACACTTTAAAAACACTTTTTTCAAATGTAATGTTTTTTTATTGGAATTAAATGAATTACTATTATAGGTTTGTGTATTATATTAAAAGTATAAAAATTTATATAAAAAAAAGTTGTTTATTATTAATATGTAAACGTAATAAGTTGTCCCTCCAAACATGTGTCTGATACCACCCGATCATACCTCATTTACAAATACTAATTTAAAAACCAATGAATTAGATTTTAAACGAATTTTTTATTTTAATAACTATTGTAAATAAAAATGCATTTTTAGTCAAAAAAAACCTCTTCTGGTGTTGGGAAACAAAATCTTGCCCTCCCAGTCATTCGCTTCGACATAATACGATAGATATTTTGCATATGCAATATTTTCACTCAAATAATATTATTAAAGTATTAAAAGCCACATAGCTTCTTTAGTTTAAGCTGTACATCAAGTGTCCAGAGTTACTCGCCATCCGAAGCTACCTGACTTTCCTGCTGCACGCCGTACCTTATGGAGGCTTATTGTTACAAACCCGAATCTTACCTTTTTTAGTATGTTTTTAATAAAGAGGTTTTTGAAAAAATTAGAAATGATTTTAATAATGATTCAGAAAAAAATATGAAAAAATGGGATTTTTATGATCCTCGACGACTTGTTCAAGATAAAAACAGATTATCACATTATTAATTTATGCATAGACCAAGTTCTAAAGGAAACGGATGATATAACCAAAGCCAGCCTAAAATTTATTTCAGAATCTCTGCGTGAATGCGCCTTTTTTTTCCGTTTATTGGCATTAGTTTTTTTCCGAAGCTCAATAATTGGTTAAAGGATCGCATGCGCGAATTCATCACCCGGAAAATATAATACAATAATTTTAGAGCTTCAATGTATTGTTAGAAGAAAAAAAAACAATACAATAGTTATTGTAACTGTTTTTATTCACAGCA